TCCTGGTCCTCCACTTTCGGTATCAACCATAGACCCTCTATCGAATAGGGTGAGAATGCGAAACAAGGTATAAATAAAGGTGCCCAAGGTACTTAACCTGAACAAGAATAAACGAATATTTGCTCAACCAACGCATAGTCACTCAGACTCATATTGCCTCAAATACTATGCAACAAATTCCTAATTACTCCGATTCATACTGCCTCCAATATTACGCAACACACTACCCTGCCGTTAATAATCCTACCCCTAAATCTAGTTTCTTACCTAACTGAGTCAACATTGCTGTCTATTCCCCCGGGCTCTTACTCGTAGTCTAGCCTTATCTGTCTGAGCCAACATTGCTGACTCACGCTCTGCCAAGCCCAGTGTAGTCAAGACATCCCCTGGTGTCGGACCACCATTGTTGACCCCGGGCCACGAACCAAGCCTGATAATAGTAACGACGTAATGCTCACTATTCTACTACTATCCTAGTCTAGCTTTACTATCTTAATGTCAACCATTGCTTGTCTATTCTCCCGGCGACTTATACTTAGGTCTAGCTTTATCTGTTCTCACGTCACCATGCTGAACTATTTCTCCGGGCTCTTACTCTAGTCCTAGCTTTACTATCTAAGTCAACCAGTGCTGACTATCCTCCCGGGCTCTTATCTTAGTCTAGCTTAAATCTATCTAAGTCAACCAGTGCTGACTATTCCTCCCGGCTCTTATTCTAGTCTATAGCTTACTATCTAAGTCAACAGCGCTTGACTATATCTCCCTGCTCTTACTCTTTAGTCTAGCTTTACCTATCTGAGTCAACCATTGCTGACTCTCGCACCTGCCAGAAGCCCAGTGTTGTCCAAGACATAATCCCCAGGTGTCCGACCAACCATTGTTGACACCCGCCACAACCAAGCCTGATAATAGTACCGTTACGTAATGCTCCACTATTCTACGGCCGCCAATATTATACTTACACTCTAGCCATCTACCTAACTAAACGAACCTAACCTTAACTAGTTCTAGCTACAGAACCTGTGCCGGTATCAAAATGGGACCCCCTCTCGATCGGGTAAACTGGCCACTCCCGATCTTCAAAAGGCTAATCGTAATTTTCCTCTCGCCCTGATAGTCATAAACAATCTACCATTTCCCGGGAATTGCAAACTGTCCTGTCGAGAGCCACACCGACATAGTACCACTAGTATTCATGTAAACACTCCATAAATTCAACCTTGTACTGGACCCAAACATATGTTAAACTGAACCTCTCTGCACTCAACTGCAATAACTGTCGTATACTAATATATCCCAAAATACTACCGTCCCATACTCCAGGGGCCCCCGCCTTATTATAATCACTACACTACCTAGATATTACACAATATTACCTAAATTCATCTCAATTAATCACGGTTTACACCTCTTTATTCGGGAATATATTCAGTTTAAGGATGTGCTTCACTGAGTTCACTTTGTTTGATATGTTGAGTGGCAACAAGTAAGGTAAATCAAGGTGAGGTAAATCAAGGTTTGCAGTAAATCAGGGTTTTGTTAGTATACATTGTGCATGTTTTTGGGGGAAGGAAATGGCTGCGGTAAATCGGGGTTTGCAGTAAATTAAATGGGGGTGCGGTAAATCAGGGTTTTACTGTACATGCATGGGTTCATATGATATTATCATCTCTAAAACTTACAGCAAGTTCAAATTCAGAAATCTTCAGATTCTTCACAATATTATTTGAGTCTAGCATCAAACGAAAAATTAATTTTTCTATTAAAACGCCAGCGGCGGAGAGACGACAACATCGCCCTCCGTAATGTTTACCTCAGCTACAGGACGATCCCTGTTTGCTACACTCCTCATCAGCTTCGCCACCTTTAACATACGTGGCCTCGGTTCTTGTGATGATCCAGACGACATCCACAGCAAACGGGAGCAACTGGGTACCGATTGTCTACGGTACGGCATAGATATCTGCGCTATTCAGGAGACTAAGGTTGTAAAACCGGATTCTTGCAGTCTTAGCAACGGATACAAACTATTATTGTTTGAGCAGAAAAATGGCCGGCACTATGGACTCGGTTTTGTTATCAGTCCCCGATTTATTGACTATGTGGTATGCTGGAACAGTATCAGTGATCGAGTAAACTTTTTGGACCTAGAACTCCCTACAAAATCTGGAAAATTTATCAAATGTAGGGTGGTCAATGTATATGGGCCACACAAGAAACTTGCAGAAAATGATCAACAACTGTTGATTAATTTTTACGGCCAAGTTAGGGACGCTCTAAACGTCCCTGCTAATGTTGAGATATTTGTTTTGGGAGATTTTAATTCAAAGTTGGGAAAAATGACTGCTTCAGATAAGGACTTTGGTTTTGGTCGTTTCATGGGTAAACATGGTATGGGTTTGCGCAACAATATGGGAGAAAACTTGTTAGACTTGTTATCAGAATTTGACCTCTTTGCCTCCAACACTGGTTTTTATCATCCTGCTCGACATACGACCACCTACACTGGCTGGAGGAAGGACTGGAGTGCCGGGCGAAATAGTAAAAAGACGATCCCGGTCTATTCTCAGATCGATTTCATCCTGTGTCGAAGTAGGTCGAAGCCAATGCTACAAGATTCTAGATCTTATGCAGGCACCTTGACATACTCTGATCACAGATTTGTTGTCACTAGAGTAGACTTTAAGGACATCTGTCTTTGCTATAAACGCAACTCCAAGTCATCCTTAAAGTTCAACACCTCTGAACTCACCTCGAACCCCACCATTCAGGTGAAATATCGTCAATCCTTAGATGATAACTTAAGTAACACTGTTTCTGCTCTGGATCCAAATTCAGACTTGAATGGCTTACTTGAGTCCATAAAGGATGCTGCAAAATCGTCAATTGGTGTCATCAGACACAGGAAACGTAATCGCAGCGACGATGATGAGGTGAAAAACTTATCTAGCCAGCGTTACTTGTTGAGACAGCAGCTTAATGATAACCAGTCTTTAGACAGAACCTCACTTAGATCATCTATTAACTGCCTCACCAATCAGATCAAGCAGAGACTTTCTAACATACGATCAGCTGCTGCTGATGCTATCTGTAATACCATCAGTTCAACAACAGATAGTAAGAAAATGTTTGAAGCTGTTCGAACCCTGAACTTACCTAAAAGTAAAGCCCCTTCTAGTATTGGTGTTCATGATGAGCAAGGGTGCAATATTGCAACAGACACTGGTAAAGCTGCCGTAGTTGCTAAGTACCTTGAGCAACAACTTACTCGTGATGAAGCACCTTTAGAACCTTTTGTAGGACCTCCTCGCCCACTAGTTAAGCCTTTCACTAGTGAAGAAATCGGATCAGCTGCTAGAAGTCTCAAAAATGGTCGAGCTAACGGCCCAGATGGGATTCCTAATGAGCTTCTCAAGTATTCTACTGGATCAGTACACAGACGTTTTGCAGACATTATCAATAGAAGCTTCGAGACCAATTCCTACCTTGACCCCATTGGACAGGCAAACATTACCCCCTTACAGAAGCCAAATAAGCCCATTGGTCCAGTGAAGAATCTACGACCCCTCACTCTCTCAAATGCTGTTAGAAAGATTCTTTCAATGGCAACCTTGAAGAGAATTGAGAATAAAGTCAATGCCTTCACTGGTCCATGGCAATGTGCTTACAAGCAGGGTAGATCATGTGCTGACATTGTATGGTGCCAGCGTGTGATGTTATCAGTTGTCCAGAGGAAGAGGTGGGAATACCATCGTATGGGGATCGACATGTCTAGTGCCTTTGACACTATACGACGATCTACCATCCTCGATCTTCTTGTTGAGTGTGGCTGTGATGATGACGAAGTCCGTTTGGTAAGACTTTTGCTTTCCGACACCAAGCTCAAAGTCAACATCAACGGTACACTGTCTGCTGAATTCCAGAGTTTTCTCGGTGCATTCCAAGGTGACTGTCTGTCTGGATGCTTGTTCACACTTGTCTTAGCGGGTGCCTTGCGTGACCTCCGTAACAGGCTTGAAACTGCAACGAATAGGCCTAACCCACCTATCACCGATATTGGTCTTCCACTTGACAGTGAGTATGCTGATGATATCGACTTCAATGATGAAGATGAAGACAATTTGAGGGAGCTGTTGCCTATTGCAACAGAAGTCCTTAAAGATTGGAATCTCTTCGTTAACGAAGACAAAACTGATTTCACTCATGTGTACTTAGCTGAAAAGGGAGCTAAAGACGATCAGGGTAAGCCAATTGCAGGGAACGAGCTCTGGAGAAAGAGTATCACGCTTGGCTCCATGCTTTGTAGTAAGGAGGACATCTCTAGAAGGATATGTCTGGGATATGCCGCGTTTAACAAATACAAGAAAGCTTGGAACCATAAGATCCCTCTGAGCAAGAGGCTTCTGTTGTATGAGGCTCTGGTAGTATCCGTTTTAATGTACAATTCATCTTGCTGGGCTGCCCCTAAATCAGTATTGGAAAAACTAGATATTGCTCACAGACGTCATCTGCGATCAATTTTGAATTACAAATACCCTCACATCATCTCCAACAAGAACTTGTATAAACGCTGCAATAGTGAACCATTGTCAGCTAAAGTGGCTCGTAGTCGGTGGAGGATGCTCGGACATGTACTGCGTGGGCCTACAGATGGCCCAGCCTATTCGTCGCTTGTTTTTGCTGTCAACACCTTACAGCTTCAAGGGCGGCGTGGAAGACCGCAGTCAAACCTTTTCTCACTGATTCTACACGACCTTAGTGTCCGAAAATTATCGTTAAATAATTTATGTGATTTGGACTATTTAACGTTAATTGCTCAGAATAGAGTTAAATGGAGAAGTATGCAAATTGCATGACTTTTGTTTGAGAAAGATTAGGGGACAGAAATGTTTACTTTGTTTACTATCTGTTTCTTAGAGCTTTTGTTTATATATATATATATATTAAAATTTGTCTCAGATGATTAAAAAACAGAAAACTAACATCTTTACAATTTTCAGGATGTTAACAGAATCAAGCATTGTTGGTTCGTGCCTTCTATTCCTATTTGCCCTTTATGTGGCATGTCCATTCCTTTTCTACTACTGCAAACGTATAAGAAATGCTGGAATGTTTGCAAACCGCCTCAACATACCTCATCCTTGGTTTTACAACCTGAAGGACCCGTCATCATTTGGAGTAGAGAACGCCCATAATGAATCATTAGTTTTGGATGTTGGAGAGATTAACATTTGGTCAATCACTACTAATGTGCCAAGGTTCAAAGATGATAAGAGAACTGTGGTTCTATACAGTCACGGAAATTCTTGCAACAGAGCTATGAGCCACAGAGTAGGGCTGTATCAAAAATTAAGTGCAATGGGGGTTGATATTGTTACTTTTGATTATCGTGGATTTGGTGATTCAACCGGAGTTATGCCTGATGAGAACACTACTGTTCATGATGCTGATGTTATGCTTCAGTGGGTTCAAGACCAGTTCCCGGACCACAATATAGTTGTATGGGGCCACTCTCTGGGCACAGGAATTACTGTTAAATTACTGTCCTCCTTTGACAAGTATCCAGACAGACTTATAGGATTAATCTTAGAATCACCATTTTTAAATTCTGGTGAAGCAGGAAGGCACATTCCCATTGCCAAAATCTTTGACTTATTACCCTGTACAAAAGGAGTTATCGCTCGAGCTTTGGAGGGCTTGTTCCCCACTGATAAACTTATTTCCAAAATAACACTTCCAATACTTATTATACATGCTGAAGATGACAGAATACTACCTATACACCATGCTCGCAGCTTGTTTGGGGTATGTGAGAACGAAAATATGAAAAATGTGACCTTGAAAGTTTTTGATGAAGGAGGACATAAATTTTTGTACACAAACAATGATGCTATGGACGCTGCATCAGATTTTATCTATGAATTGTGACAGATTTAGACTACCTACGATTGATGCTCAAAATCAAATAGGAAGCAATTTCATTTATTTTAAAATTAAAGCATGTTAGTTAATTGTTATAATGCTGATTGCTGACTTTATTACAGACGTTAATATAAAATCATTTATCAAAATAAGATGTATGATGACTTTTGTTTTCCCTACGAGAATTCATTAAAACTAGATGTGTATCATTGAAATTACTTCGAGAGATGCTAATATTATCATATAAATTGTCAGTTTATATATAATATTCAATTATTCGACTTATAATTTGCTCCAGATAGATAGATATACATAATTTTAGTTCATTTTAAAGATTCGTCTAATTTATTGAACATTTTGTTTCTCGTGGGAAAGCATAATATATTCTTTGTTAATTCTATTCTAGTATTATTCCAATATCAATTATCTTAAATATTACTCGTTCTCTGTTATTGTTGGTGGTTAGAGTACCTAACTGCATTCAATGTGAAATTTTGAAACTCTATAACATTTGTTGTCTAACTGTGATATTATACATATTACATACACGTTAACATCGTCAATAGTAAATATTTAAATAACTCAGCACTGCTGTAAAAATGTGACTTACGTTCGTCAATTGAATCCTCATTCCTCATATTAATTTGCTCAGCCACACAGGAATGCTAACATGACATGACAATGCGCTGAAGAATATCATTATATGACAGTGATCTGAAGGAACTGTAAGAAGAGAGCATGTCCAGGGGTTCGGGGCTCTCCCCCAACTTAGGAATGGGGTCCTCTCTCAAACACAAGTTTGAGACCTGCATGTACTCAGGTCAGTTGTTATTGTCACGTATTATTATCACACGTGTACTGGGTTTTTATCACGTGTTCACTACTGACACGTGTTTACTATTTCTTGATGTTGGCATTTTTGTCAATGTTGTTATAAGCTATTCAAGACTTCCGAGATTGTTTAATTATATTATGATTACTACTGCAAAGTTTTCATAGACTAACCAGTTCCACTTAATTTACCTCCACCAGGACGACTAGAGATATCAGCCTGTAGTTTGAGAACGATACCCAAAGAAATAGATGGCTATGACATTGCTGACATGATGCTTGTTGGTAAGTTATACTGCAAGGGAAGGAGGGAAGAGGTGCTCACTGCTCCGTAATGTCTTGTACTGTTAGATCATATTACAGTCCTTTAAGAAATCTACTCAATTTAGGTTTTCCTACTCAATCGTATTCAAAATATTAGTTATTGATCAATAAAACTGATATAATATTATCATAATGAGCCGCAACTTCTGCAGATGTGTCGCGCAACAAGTTCACAGAGATACCACCAGAAGTGCTGCGCTGTGAGCACGCGGAGGAACTTAACGCGTACCACAACATGATCAGATCCATCTGCGATCTGAATCCTATGCGCTTCCTTAACAAACTAAACCTCTGCAGAAACCAACTTACATCGTATGTATTGATTCTTAAAGACTGTATCCTAATTATAAGTTGGTGTATGTATTATTATATCATATTGTTGAGTAGCGTATGAATCTTTAGATTGTATGGATTTATGTAATAGAGTCTGAAAGTGACATTGTATTGTTCTAAGCGGTATGTGGTGTGAATTTATACAATCTGCAAATAGTTTGACAAGGTTGACTGTCAGACAATTTCACCTCAATGTATATGTATACATTATACAGCACTTCCTACTCCACAATTATTCCTTTTGTCAAGGTATTTGTACGGGGTGTACACCCCAGTCCAGGTGTGGTATTTGTACACTTCTTAACAACTACCTGCACTCCTGCACCGTGTACTGTATTCCTTTAATACACGGTAGCAAATGTTACCCTATACTGCCTTACTGGCTTATACTAATTAGTCTGTTGTGTGACGTTGTGTGTACATTAAAATGAATTACAGGCTGCTTATATCACTACATAAAATACACACTCCATACGTGTACGGTAAAATGTATATACATTATACAGTATACAAGTTAGTGTGCACTGTACAATTCAATGTACGTAAATATGTAGAATGTAAATGAATTCCGAGACGTAGAATGTATAAAAGTCTAAGAATACACAAAATGTACAGTGCCACCCCACACTTGCCAACATCCTGTCACATGGTAGCCCAATATAAGAGGGGGAATTATTACAGTTAGTTGTTTCTGTTAACGAGTTAACATTATCCTGACATGCCTGTCCGCACCAACAATCAACATGAACAAGGAGGGAGAAATGTGTCAAAAAGTGTGTACAGTAATTTCAATGATGTGGTACGGTGTTTGATGTGATAGCATTATTTGTAATATAATATAATAGTTACGCTTTTAGTTGATAATCACCCTCTTTAATTAAAGATATTGTGTTGTGATTGAAGTATAGGTTTGTTACGTCCAAATTATAATTGCTCAAGAAATGTTTGCGGGATTTATACAGCTAAAATACAAATGAAAATGTTCACATATAATATTTATAGATAATTTCTATGCCTGGAAGAAAACCCCAAACACATCAGAAAAGTCAAAATTTCGTAATTAATAGTGAAACCTTAGCTTCACCAATCTCAGGTTCATTACCTTGCTCCTTACATTAGTTACATGAGAAGTTCCTACGTCATCCCTTGTATACAAAAACTGACAAAATGATATTGCGGTAAAATGATAAAAGTAAATATCTACTGCAGGATACCAAGCCATTTGTGTACTTTACCTCTGGAAACACTGTACCTTGCTAACAACAAAATACACACTCTACCTGCCGAGATGGGTAAGATATTTTGTAATGTTATTTAATGTTATGTAATGTTATTCAATTGTCATTTAATGTTATTTAATGTTAACTTGATTGATATGATTATTTTTATGTTTTCAAGGTTTTTAACTATTTTTATGTTTTCAAGGCCTCCATGATTTGTAAAATACAAGGCTTTAAATGGTGTGCAGACTTAATGGTAAAGCTCTGCTTGCTTAGTGATCGTTTTTAGATTTCCAAAGCAAGCACCATAAAACGTGTTATACCCACCACCATGATAAAGCTTTAGAAACTAGATCTCACTAAATTTAGTATATTCTCAGGAAATTTGATAACTTTGGTCGACCTTAGAAACTAGATCTCACTAAATTTAGTATATTCTCAGGAAATTTGATAACTTTGGTCGACCTTTAGAAACTAGAAATCTCCTAAAATTTAGTATATTCTCAGAAATTTGGATTAACTTTTGGTTGACCTTTAGAAACTAGATCTCACTAAATTTAGTATATTCTCAGGAAATTTGATAACTTTGGTCGACCTTTAGAAACTAGATCTCACTAAATTTAGTATATTCTCAGGAAATTTGATAACTTTGGTCGACCTTTAGAAGAACTAGATCTCACTAAATTTAGTATATTCTCAGGAAATTTGATAACTTTGGTTGACCTTGATAAAGCTTTAGAAACTAGATCTCACTAAATTTAGTATATTCTCAGGAAAATTTGATATTCTTGGTCGAACTTTAGAAACTAGATCTCACTAAATTTAGTATATTCTCATGAATTTGGATGCTTTTGGTTGACCTTGACTAAGCTTTAGAAACTAGATCTCACTAAAATTTAGTATATTCTCAGGAAATTTGATAACTTTGGTTGACCTTGATCTAAGCTTTAGAAACTAGATCTCACTAAATTTAGTATATTCTCAGGAAATTTGATAACTTTGGTCGACCTTGATCTAAGCTGCAACAGAAGCTAGATCTCACTAGTATATTCTCAGGAAATTTGATAACTTTGGTTGACCTTGATCTAAGCTGCAACATGTTGAGCAGCTTACCGGTAACTTTTGGAGATCTAAGTGGGTTGAAGGATCTCAATGTTAGTCATAACTTTATCACACACATTCCATCAGGTAATTAACCATTGTTTTCCTCCTTAGCATTCTGATCATTGCTCTAAATATTCATTTAAATTGTAAACAACAGGAACAGCAATATTATGTTTGTCATGGTAAAAACTTGGTAACTCTCTAAACCTCACATTCCACAGAGTTGACAGAGACGTCATTAGTGCGCCTGGATTTGAGCTACAACCGTATAGCCATTATCCCACCTTCCTACCGCTTCCTCAAGGACCTTAAACATCTGGACATCAGTAACAACCCACTAGTGTGTCCCCCTGCTCAGGTTAGTGAACTTCAGTAACAACCCTCTAGTGGCCCCCTGCTCAGGTTAGTGAACATCAGTAACAACCCAACTAGTGTGCCCACCTGCTCGGTTAGTGGAACAGGTAACAATCCTACTAGTGTGCCCCCTGATCAGGTTAGGAACATCATTAAACAAAACCCACTAGCTAGTGTGGCCCCCTGCTCAGGTTATGTGAACAAGTAACAACCCAACTAGTGTGCCCCCTGCTCAGGTAGTGAACCATTCAGTAACAACCCACTAGTGTGCCCCTGCTCAGGTTAGTGAAATCAGTAACAGCCCACTTGGTGTGCCCCCTGCTCAGGTTAAACGTGTAACATCATGTAAACAACCACTAGTGTGACCCCTGCTCAGGTTAGTGAACTTCAGTAGCAAACCACTAGTGTGCCCCCTGCTCAGGTTAGTGAACATCAGTAACAAACCCACTAGTGTGCCCCCTGTCAGGTTAGTGAAACATCAGTTACAAAACCCACTAGTGTGCCCCTGCTCAGGTTAGTGAACATCAGTAACAACCCACTAGTGTGCCCCCTGCTCAGGTTAGTGAACATCAGTAACAACCCACTAGTGTGCCCCCTGCTCAGGTTAGTGAACATCAGTAACAACCCACTAGTGTGGCCCCATGCTCAGGTTAGTGAACATCAGTAACAACCCACTAGTGTGCCCCCGGCTCAGGTTAGTGAACTATCAGTAAAACAACCACTTGTGTTGCCCCCCCGCTCAGGTTAGGTGAACATCAGTAACAACCCCATTAGTGTGCCCATGCTCAGGTTAGTGAACATCAGTAAAAAACCCAACTAGTGTGTCCCATGGCTCAGGTTAGTGAACATCAGTAACAACCCATAGTGTGCCCCCCTGCCTCAGGTTAATGAAACATCAGTAACAACTCACTAGTGTGGCCCCCTGCTCAGGTTAATGAACATCAGAAACAAACTCACTAGTGTGCCCCCTGCTAAGGTTAATGGAACATCAGAACAAACTCACTAGTGTGCCCTGTCAAGGTTAATGAACTTCAGTAACAAACCCACTAGTGTGTCCCCCTGCTCAGGTTAGTGAACATCAGTAACAATACCCACTAGTGTGCCCCCCTCTCAGGTTAGTGAACATCAGTAACAACCCACTAGTGTGCCCCCCTGCTCAGGTTAGTGAACATCAGTTAATACAACGCACTAGTGTGCCCCCCTGCTCAGTTTAGTGAAATCAGTAACAACCCCACTAGCTAGTGTGCCCCTGCTCAGGTTAGTGAAACTCGTTAACAACCCACTAGTGTGCCCCCTGCTCAGGTTAGTTGACATCAGTAACCAACCCACTAGTGTGCCCCCTGACTCAGGTTTAGTGACCATCAGGTAAACAAACCCACTAGTGTGCCCCTGCTCAGTGTTAAGTGAACATAGTAAACAACCACAGTGTGCCCATGTCAGGTTAGTGAACATCAGTAAACAACCCACTAGTGTGCCCCTGGCTCAGGTTTGTGTACTCAGTAACAACCCTCCTAGTGTGCCCCTGCTCGAGTTAATGAACCATAGTAAACAACTCACTAGTGGCCCCCATGCTCAGGTTAATTGAACTCAGTAAACATACCCACTAGAGTGTCCCCCCCTGTTTTTCAGGTTAGTGAACATAAGTAACAACCCAATAGTGTGCCCCCATGACTCAGGTTAGTGAAACATCAGTAACAACCCACTAGTGTGCCCCCTGCTTAGGTTAATGAAATCAGTATAAAATACCCACTAGTGTGCCCCCATGCTCAGGTTAGTGAACATGCTGTAACACACTAGTGGTGCCCCTGCTCAGGTTAGTGAACTTCAGTAACAACCCACTAGCTAGTGTGCCCCTGCTAGGTTAGTGAACATCAGTAACTCCACTGTGTGACCCCCTGCTCAGGTTAGTGAACATCAGTAACAACCACTAGTGTTGCCCCCCTGCTCAGGTTTAGTGAACATCAGTAACAACCCACTAGGTGCCCCTGCTCAGGTATTAGTGAACCTCAGTAAACAAACCACTAGTGTGCCCCCTGCTCAGGTTAGTGAAAATCAGTAAAACCACTAGTGTGCCCCCTGCTCAGGTTAGTGAAACATCAGTAAACAACCCACTTAGTGTGTTCCCCCTGCTCAGGTTAGTGAACATAAGTAACAACCCATTAGTGTGTCCCCCTGCTCAGGTTAGTGAACATCAGTAACAACCCACTAGGTGTGCCCCCCTGTCAGGTTAATGAACTTCAGTAACACCCACTAGTGTGCCCCTGCCTAGGTTAATGACATCAGTAAACAAACACACTAGTGTGCCCATGCTTCAGGTTAGTGAACTGCAGTAACAACACCACTGTGTGACCCCCTGCTCATGTTAGTCGAACATCAGTAAACAACCACTAGCTAGTGTGGCCCCCTGCTAAGGTTAGTGAACATCAGTAACAACCCACTTGATGTGCCCCCATGCTCAGGGTTAGTGAACTTCTGTAACACCCACTAGTGTGCCCCCTGCTAAGGTTAGTGATCATCAGTAACAACCCACTAGTGTGGCCCCCATGCTCAGGTTAGTGAACATCAGTAACAACCCACTAGCTAGTGTGCCCCTGGCTCGGGTTTCGTGAACATCAGTAACAACCCACTAGTGTGCCACCCTGTCAGGGTTAGATGAAACATCAAGTAACAACCCAATAGCTGTTGCCCCCCTGCTCAGTTAGTTGAACATCAGTAACAACCACTTTAGCTAGTGTGCCCCTGCTTCAGGTTAATGAAATCTGTAACATCCCACTAGTGTGCCCCCTGCTCAGGTTAGTGAGAACATCAGTAACAACACACTAGGTGCCCCCGCTCAGGGTTAGTGAACAGTAAAAAACCCCTAGTGTGTCCCAGCTCAGGTTAGTGAAACATCAGTAACAACCCACTACGTGTGCCCCCCCCTGCTCTGGTTAGTGAACATCAGTAACACCCACTAGTGTTGCCCCTGCTCAGGTTAGTGATTATCAAGTAACAACCCATAGGGTGCCCCCTGCTCATGGTTAAGTGGAAAGCAGCTCCGTGGTTATCTATACCTTGTTGCAATATCAATAAAGTCATAACTTTATATATCCAGTACGGTAAATCACATGAAACCCAATTTCAGTAAAGTGTAGTAACATTTCTTGATCACTGTGATCCATAAAACCGTTCAGTATGCAGAGCGAGGGAGGGTGGCACTTCTTTTCCAAATACTATTAGAGATCCTAGTGTCGGCAGCAGGAGCAGAAAGAGTTGTTGGAGTATGAAGAAAACATTCCGCCGTAGAAAGAAGGAGGAGGAACGCGCCCAACTGAACTATGACAACCCACGCAAGTTACCCACCTAATAGCACAAGTTTGTTAACTTTTCTTTAAACGGAGCATTTACTTTTATTACGTTTTATAGCTTTAATTTAAGATTAATTATAAAATAAAAACGGGTTTTTTTTATTTTTTTAAAAAATTTTTTTTTTTTAATTGTTAACTTTAACTGCTTCCTGGATAAATAGTTCAAGGGGGCTATATTTATGAGTCGCATTTGAACTAGATTTCTCTTGGAGAATTTCTTTAGACTCTAACTTGCGAAACAAAATTGAAGCAGCAGCAAACTTTAGGTAGAAACTTTATTTGAATTGAAAATAATCATTCCCAGTACAACGTCTTCTTCAGTTCTGTAATAATCGTTAAACATGTGTTAAAAATTAAAAACGACGGAAAGAAATTTAAATTAACATTAAAATCAAAAACAGAGAAATAAAATTACGAATGACCAAAAAATGTAATTGCAAAAAATGTCTCAAAACAACAAATAAAATACGACAAAGAAGAAATGTAAGGCTAATACAACTAAATACTATACTACTCTGATACTTAAACTAATAGTAAAACGTAAAAACTGGTTGTTCAGAATTCACTGTTCATGTGTAAAAAACTTATGATAAAATCAGCACTTAAGCAAACGATAATCTCGGTTTGTCATGGTTACGATCCAAGATAGTCCTATCATTACATTATTTTTTTTCACTAGTTAAACATCGACTAAAATATTTGTAACAAATACTATCACTGCTGACACTCGAACGAAGACATGTGAACCCTCTACGAGACGTGGTGGTCAATGGTGTGCCTCTCGTTAATATATACACTTCCGAATTAATGTACAATCAGTTCTCTTCTACGAAACAGTTTTACTCTTGTAAAATCAAGATAACATAAAAGGAATAAAAACTGGGGATTCGGTTAGGATGTAGAGATGCGTAGTGTGTGTCCAACCCCATTCTCTGGATTGTGCTCTAGGATTCCTAGCGCCTTGTCTGTGCTCATCAAACGAGCATGGAGGCTTCTCTCAGTTTTCCCCACAGTATCTATCTCCCATCTAACCACATAAAAAAAAAAAAAATAAAAAACTCGCAAGTAAAGTAGTAAGTCGATCTCACGAAGCCTCCTTTGTTGAGCATGGGGGTTTTTGTTTCCTGTGAGTTTCCGGCGCAGATTCCACTCCCTACATCACATGTACTCTAGAGAGCGAGCGTTTACCAAGGTCCACAAGTCTTCTTATCCAGTGGACGAGTGCGGCAGAAGATGTCCTGTAACTTTCTTACCAAGTGTAATAAATTAACTCTGAATGGGGAGTTTGTTAGATTTGATACGATGATGAGGTGTGAGACTCATTTGATTCATCCCTCCAACAGTACGGTCACTAGAGTGGAATGGTAAGGTGAGTGGGACAGAGTCAGGTGTGGTTTTGACGTCTTTCTCCTAGTTCTCCTGTTCCTTGCGATTTTATGACTCAGAGGTTGGTGTCATTTTTCTTTAAGTGATCATCGATGGATTTTAACTGAAGATCGAGTTCCTGGGTCCTGAGGAAGCAATGGGGCATTACCGGTAGTAGTTCTTCTTACAATCCTCCTTCACTGAGTTCCGGTGTGTGACTTCTGTGTATGGTTAATCCCCGTGTCTGGGTTTTCCTGTAGAAACTGTGGTGAACTTTTCCTTCCTCATCGATCGGATTTCCGTACTCAGGAACGGGACCAAAATCCGCAGGGGTTGACGGGCAGAACTCGATCTCCACTTGATTCTGTTATCGGGATCCTGGTCGGCTATGCGTTGTTTTTGTAACATATCCCGTGCTTTCTTCTCTGGATTAGCTAAGGAACCAGCATCATCTACATAAAAACCCGGTTTGTATAAGAACCGAACAGGGTTACTGATGTAATAATGAATAAATATATTACTATTACGCTCGAATTTCCACATTCTAATAATACGCTACAGTGAGGGGATGGTCTAAACCCATGAAATAAAACCTAATAGTTGTTATAAAGTCTCCCATTAAAGTAAAAAAAAATAAAAAAAAATAGAATTTTCGTCAAAACTACTGTAAAGATACTCAATTTCTGATAAACTTAAACAATACCGTACTTAACTTACTCCAAGGTTCTTCTGCAAATTCAATAACTGTCTCAATTCACTCATTGATATTTCAAATGCGTATACAAAGCTGATACATCCGCTGTAAGAACTGTTAACCTTTAAGTTCACTCTCTGGTAGGCCTACTGAGGATGTCCAGGGGCTGTAGATATCGTACATATGAGTAGGTACTTCTCTCAAACAAAGGACTGTTAATGTCGGTAACTAACCAGCCAACTTTCTGTAGGTGAGCCACACACGATACGATTGTCTAAAAAATAAAACTGTTTTTTTTTTTTTTTCATATCCTCCCAAGTTGATACGAGAGTAGTCAGTATCAGGTGGGAACTTGTGTGTCTCACCAGGGTGTTTGTACTTAGTAGGTAAAGTAGAGTTACGAGATAATAAATAAATCATCAATACGTGAGTCTTAATTCCATATGGTTACTCACATAGTCCGCCACAACCTATTACACTCTGATTCCAATATCTGCACATTTCTTGTTTAATTTGATTCTGATAGTTATAGGAGTAGTCGTTGAACAGGTCTGCTTACTCCGTAACCCTCGAACGGGTGGGCTCACCCATTCGTAGACTTCCAGAAGTGCTCTTGTTCAGGTGTTCGATGTTAGCGTCGGTACGTATCAACACTCATGTCGCCCCCCTGCGCAGGTGTAAGGTCTGCTGATAACAGGTCAGTAACAACCCACTTAGACAAGTGGTGCCCCCCTGCTCAGGTTAGTGAACATCAGTAACAACCCACTAGTGTGCCCCCCTGCTCAGGTTAGTGAACATCAGTAACAACCCACTAGTGTGCCCCCCTGCTCAGGTTAGTGAACATCAGTAACAACCCACTAGTGTGCCCCCCTGCTCAGGTTAGTGAACATCAGTAACAACCCACTAGTGTGCCCCCTGCTCAGGTTAGTGAACATCAGTAACAACCCACTAGTGTGCCCCCCTGCTCAGGTTAGTGAAGCAGCTCCGTGGTTATCTATACCTTGTTGCAATATCAATAAAGTCATAACATTATATATTCAGTACGGTAAAATCACAGAAACCCAATGTTCAGTAAAGTTAGTAACATTTCTTGATCACGTGATCATAAAACCGTTCAGTATGCAGAGCGAGGGAGGGTGCACATCTTCAAACTATTAGAGATCCTAGTGTGGCAGCAGGAGCAGAAAGAGTTGTTGGAGTACGAGAAAACATTCCGCCGTAAGAAGGAGGAGGAACGCGCCCAACTGAACTATGCAAACCCACGCAGTACCACTAATAGCAACAAGTTTGTTAACTTTAACGAGCATTTACTTTTATTACGTTTTATTAGCTTTAATTTAATGATTAACGTTAATTAATTGTTAACTTTAACTGCTTCCTGGATGTTTCCAAGATATCGCGTATTGTATCTGAGTGTGAAATGTATAAGTACTTTCTTAGATTTCTTGCTGCATTCGGGTATTTCATTGTCTTTACAGTTTTATAGAAAGTCAAAAATATTCGAATATTTTTGTTTGATCTCGACTTATGTTTTAACTGCATCAAAGTCGGTTTAAGGCTGAACTGCATAATTATTGTTACAATATTACAAGTATATATAATACTAGACGTCTACCTTTATACTGGAACACTTTGCAGAATGAACCCATTTTCACAATGTTCAATAAAAAGATCACACTCTTTCTCTTGGGAGATACACTCTCAATCGTAAGCGGTTTAGGACCATCAGTCCATAGGTTGCCAGGCTCTTCCCTTTCTAATTTCTACTATACTCAATACTTATCGATACTTATCATATAGACACGGATTGCTTGAAATTAGAAAAACCGATCTATTTATTTTCTTTCTGACTCCAAATACAACGATACCTTGTGTTCCGGGTTCCCTCTCTGATCAGCCAATCATGCTTTTTTACAACCATCAAGATTAACTGTATTAATTTAATAAATTCTGAAAGATAATTAAATGAATGTTTATGTACTGCAATTGGATACTACTAAATAATATGATAATAACATATTATAATATGAAACAAAAGCTTAGATAAGATTATTGTTACAATAATTTGTAACAATATAATAAGAATATTTAAATACAAGTCAGTTCTAATGCCTTAACTTCTGATTGGCAGTAATATCATCACAATTATGGAACAGACAATACCTATTAATCCATATAGAGACTTTTTAATTAATACTTTGAACATTACTTATACTGTATCATATACTGGAGCGGCTCTATAAGAGGGAGGGTGAGCTCTCGTGTCTCAACATTCCAATTCCACCTTGTCTAACCAGTGTTAATCTGAAGTTATACTTTAATTTTAAATTGCTCAAGAACGAGTATCGAGGTTTCTAGAACAAATATTACTCATTTACAATTGATCATATGCTAGCACCAAAAATGTACAGTGTTCAACAGTGGGATTACTTACACGCAGTTACTTGCTTACCTACACTCATTTCATTCAGTTTTATCAACGAGCTGCTGGTTTCATGGGATGCCCAAGCTACCGCCTCAATGCTGGAGGATCCTTTCTTTAAGAAGGAGCTGGAAAAAGACAAGACTTACCGGGAGAAGTACGGAATTAAAGATGATTATATGAAGAGGAGCTTGCAGGTATTATGAATTGCTTTGAATCAAACTGTCTTCTCAGAACATCAGTTATCAAAAGTTTACACAAAAATGAAAAATGATTCAAAGTATTAATTAATTAATTAATGCTCTTTTTGTTTGTACAGGTAGCCCAAGGGCGGAGTATAAACACGATAAATCGTTCGTCTGGTAAAGCAATTGCAAAGCAGCTAGCGACCGGCACCCCTGTCGCTGATATAAAGGACCCGTTGGAGGGAACCAGCAAAACTGTTTCCAAGAGCAGTCCTAATAACGATAAAAAGGATAAGAAGAGCAGCAAGAGAGGTAGTGTTTCTGTGTCTTTATTTTGTTTCAGGAGTGCCCATCGGGTTTTTTATTTTTAAAACTGATTATGATGACGTATGTAGTAATAAGTCCATTAGAGACACTCCCCTTACGAGGGAGGGGCTTTCAATCAAAAAGGAAATGTAAGGGAATTGTATTGTTATGGATACATCATTTTCGATTCAAAAGTTTCAGATTAAATTGATACCTTTGGACACGTAAAATATTTCAGATAGTAAAAGTAGCAAATCCCCAAAATCGGAGAAATTGTCCAAATCTCCGAAGAATGACAAAACATCGGATCATCCCCCAGAGAAGAAATCTCTTAAATCTCCGCGGGTTACAACGGTAAGTGATTCACAATCTCAATCAGATGCATGTTTATTGTACTCAATCCTTATCAACTTCTTATCTCTGAATTAATTTTACTTTTAAATATACTCTATTCTGTGTATGAGCCTGTCTCTTCCTTTTATAAATTAAAAAGTTCTGTTCTTGATTTAAAACTACAGATTTTTTCTTTGAAAAACGATTGATATGATAGGTGTAAAACTGTATGCTACGCTGATTTACTGACTGACAAGTGACTGACCAGCGGTTGACTGACAGTCAAATAATATAACTGACCGACAGTGCGGAGACTGACAGACCAGCGATGACTGATGTTGCCAATATTGACTCACAAAGACTGTTTTCTTTTCTTAACTTATTTATTGAAGAACTATGACCGTATTTTTTCGTAGATATTGAGTTCTCCGAATGGGTTATCCTTTAAGAGATTTGGCGGCAAATCCTCGAAACCAAAATAAGGTTATGACGGCTTGTTTTTGGCATGTCACAAATGAATTCTCTTGTTTTTACTCATTTTGACATTTGAATTTTCACTCAAAAACACAAAGTTTGCTTCTACAATGTGTGTTATGTCAGAAGCTTAGTTTAATTTAATGTAAACAGCTACATTACTACACTAGAGTTTAGTATTTCTGAGTCATGCCGAAGTTTTAGGCCTAGGCCATATTTAATCGTTTGTAAGGTCATTGAGTTAGGCTCTTTAGCGGAAAATATGTGTACTGTGTAACTCAAGTTCACGTTAGGCGTAGTTTTGCTAGACTGCAAAATTCTGCTTGTTGTAAAGCGGATTATAGCACACCAACTTTTGAAAACTGATTCCTAGCAATTATGGTTATTTGGAAAAGGAATATCTGGAAGGCGCGAAATCAGGTGTTTTCCTAGTGTTAACTGTGCGCGCATTGCTCAATTATTTAGCTAGCTAGGCATGAATTAAATTAGAGCACGAACGTACGCGCGTTACGTCTGTAACTTACGTACGAGTTACGAACAGCTATGCGCGCGTTTTCTAGCTCCATATATACTATATATTATGTATGTATGTACTGGGAGTGGTCATGTATAGTACGCCCGAGACTAGCAACTGTTGAATTTGGTGATGTCATTTGAAGTTGGTTCCTGAGACAAATGAGGCTCATTTAACGGTGAATAAATGAGACGACCGTGCAATTATTAGTGACCTGAATATTTGTTTTATTAAATGTCAGCACTCATCAGGTCGTAACCCAAAAGTCAAAAGTAGAGTTAACTTTTAAGCTTAAATAATTGATGTTTTGGGACAAAGTGAGAGTATCCACATTCCACTCAGTTTTTAAACAAATAGTTGTCAAAAACTATTTGTTTGAAAAACTGAGCGGAGACTCTCACTTTGTCCTAAAACATCAATTATCATATGATCGACCCACTCAAAAGAGCGAAAATAGATTATTATTTTAAGCTTAAACTTTAAGAAACCGTTATCTAGACGATACATCGTGTTATATTCCATTGTCAACATCTTAGATTCAAAACATTTCATGACTTATTATGCTCAACGGCTATCAATGAGTTAAATGCGGCAAAAATAGCATGGCTTTTAAGCCCTATTCGATGAGTAGCTGGGACCCTCCTTGGTTTGTCAATCTTATATAAGCTCCTAATGGCTGATGCTAGAATCTAGAACGTAATTTAAAATTGCTTGGGGCTTTATCTGTATCGTGAAGACATTTCTGTCATTTAATCATAACTCAGTTTTTTTTCAGTGTTACTCAGTATTTACACATTAAATAATTCTAAATCGTCTAATTCACATTTTTCCTAAGATCAATTTTCTGCGACGAAAGACTAAAAAGAAAGAAGTGGATCACAATTCAGAATGAACTATCTTAAGAAACATGGAATGACATTTTTGTGTGTTTGTTCGTGTTGACTAGGCTTAAGAAATATTCTAAGATTTAACAATACGGCATGTTAACGAGGGCTTTCATAATCCGTGTGTGAAGCATTTTTCTGTTTTTTTCTTCATGTGTGTGACTGGGTTTGGGGCGTGTGAACTGTGAAGTGTGATGATTCTCTGTGACATGTGTGATGATACCTTTACCTCTCTGTCTCTTTTATACCTGAGTCTTTCTCTTGTCTTTTACTATCACCTGATCTTATTCTGTGATTCAATCTATCAAGAGTGTAAAAATGCCGGTTATATGAAATTTAGGGAAATGTTGTGTTCTAAAAAAATCAAAATTTGTTGAAGTGAAGTATGAAAGTGTGCAGGAAATTTCGGTTAATTAATAATTGATTACTAATTTAAATGTAAATACAGTAATTGTTTGATAATGTAATTATCAATCAGACTAAGAAAGAAGAGGAGGAAGCCTTAGCAGTTCTTGAAGATGTCTTCATGGACAAGTCTAAAGAGAACACTTTCGAAAGAAGTAAGTTGAGATAAGTATAATGAGAGGTAATTTCTAGACGGTGCTTGACCGGTTCTTGATCGGCTCTTGATCGGTTCTTGACCGGTTCTAGACCGGTGCTTTACCGGTTCTTGACTGGTTCTTGGTCGGTTCTTGATCGGCTCTTGAACGGTTCTTGAACGACTCTACAGCGGTGGTCGGTGTTCGATTTAATCCCCATCTTCCTTGTACAACTTGACGACTAATTTTTGAATCATTACGCGTGTCCAGATTTGAATAAATGTTGTTCTATCAGCCTCATGAATCCTGACTCCAAAAGAAACAGACCATTTTATAGAACTGTTGACTGATTTCGTGTATGCGCATCCTTATCTTACCTGGCACCACTTTAAAATGTCTCCCTATGCCGAATCATACTCGTATATCAGCATAATCTGAAACCAAATTCTACAGTTTGTACAGATTGACACACTACAGCTGTCTGTCGACAGTTACATTTTGATAAGTATTCCATCCTTTGTCACTTGTATTTCCATATAAGGATGTATTCACTAGAATACAATCTTGTTACGAGCTAGCTTTGTCTGAATCCTGCCTGGTCTTCAGTTCTTCTGCTTTTTTCAGTTTTGCGCCTGTTTTTAAGCCACGTTGCCCGTTGGATGAGTAGAATTGACACGTCAACGTTGTGTTGACACGAGTATACCACGCGGTCTTACAGCATTGATTATTATCAGTTTGAGCTCGTGTTTCAACCACTAGTACCTTCTAGCACTCCGATTTTGTGGAGATAATATGCTTGTTAGCCTAGATGTTATCTAATATCTGGTGTTGGATTTTATTTTTTATTAATGTCGTGAATTGTTTTCCGTGTCGTCCACAGTCGTTGGACATTGAGTGTTACTATTTAAAAGTATTTACCTAGCTCAGAGCTCTGACCATTCTCAAAATTGATTCTTAATTTGAACCATGCGTGAATAGGTCAGGAGAAGGAATTGAAATCAAAGCTTAAACCAGAATCAAAGCTTAAACAGAATCGAAGCTAAAACCAGAATCAAAGCTTAAACCAGAATCGAAGCTCAAACCAGAATCGAAGCTAAAACCAGAATCGAAGCTAAAACCAGAATCAAAGGTTGAACCAGATTCAAGGGTTAGACTAGTTTTGGGTAAGAAGGGTTTGCGAAGTAATTTGTTTTGTGCAAGTGTGTTTTTTTGGATCATAAACAATGATATTGACATGTTCTTTTGCTCGTGACTCTTCTCTAAGAAATTAACGAAGATCAAATGATCGAATAATGCTACATAATATCAGAAGTTTCCTTGCTGTGTAGTGTATATCATGGAATTCAACCATATAACTATAAGTGCATAATCCTATCACCGTAGTAACGCTGTCATGCATGAATCAACATAGAGTTACAAATCGCATCCTTCTCTGTAAATGCGATCTTTCTTAGATCTTTAGTATGTCAGTTGTGACGCTGTTCATGAATTTTTCTTGCCAACAATCTAAATTAGCGATAGATAAAGTAATCTTAACTTTGCAAGCATGATTATTAAGACTTGAAATAGATTCCCCTGTATGCTAATATTACATATTAACTTACATATTAACTTACATATTACATTTTTACTTATTTAGGAAATTGCAATGAAGTTTGTAAGAGGAAAGTCAGATCAATAATGTGAAAAGGAAATGAACCTGAGAACTATTGGTCGTTACCTGGATGAAGGCATTAAATTGATGTTGGTGAAACAACTGGTTATATCTAAGTTAGATTACTGTAATTCTCTGTACATAAATCTACCCGAGACCAGATTAAACAAACTTAGATCCATCCTTAATGGTGCAGTTCGTTTCATCCATAACATAGAAGACAGAACCAAGGGCTTGGTTCCCTTCTATAAGAAGGCCCATACTCCCTATAGACCAGCGAATCTTCTTTAACGTTTCTCTATTAACCCACAAATCAGTTCACGGTACTGCACCTGGTTACCTCAAAGCATTACTGGATGTGGATGTAGTGGATACAGAACTTTCAAACACCGTGACCAGGTCGAAGAGACCGTGTGACCATATCATGCTCAAGATACCAAAGAATAAAAAGGTCCAAAATTGATGACAGACGTTTCTCAAGCCATGTACCGGTTGCATGGAACTCTCTTCCACTAATGTTGAGATGTATTACTGATACCAACTGTTTCAAGCGAATGTTAAAGAACCATCTAAATAATCAGTTTTGATGTTTTTTCTTTCCATTTGCATTGTCTTCACTTTGCAAGACACATTGGCTTTTATTTTTCACCGCACTCCATTTTATGTCTTTATTTCTACCATTCTAGGATCTGTTACTTTTTTGATTGATTATGTCACTGTACTAACCTTTATTATACCTACATGTTTTATACTTTTTGTTTACTTTAATACACATTTGCTCACATCACTCACAGTCAGCCGCTCTGACATGTTAACCACCTTCCTTGTGTTGTTGGTTAATCATATGAGCGGGATATTTTTTTTTTTTATTTCAAAATTCAAATAAACTTTACATCAATGTATTACAGTTATATTCAATAAAAAGACCACAATATCTCCTGTGAAGCAAAAACATGGAAAAAGAGAGCTAGAAAAATATTCATGATACTCAACACTACCAGACTCAGCTGGAGTGAGAAACAATATGTAAAAACATCAAGGTAAAATTTATTTCGGCTGAACCAAAACACGGTGGTAAGACCATAATTACATTGGTGCCGACCCTACATAAAATCATTTATAAATAATCAAGAGAACAAATTTAAATGTATACGATACCTTCTTGCTACTACTCCACAAACTTACACGACATAACAACAAAATAACATAATTAAATAATATTATAATAAAACAATCTATAATCTAGCCACTCACGTACTGCGTGACGCGCTAGTTTCGGGTTGTTTCATAAGAGAAAAAACGGCGCGTTCTACTGCAGGTGCGAGGGGCAAATTATAGAGAGTATGACATTCATAAAGTAAAATATATATATAATGATATTCCATGATGGGCCGTCTAATCAGGCCAGCATACGTCAGAAGACCAGAGAAATTCAGTTAGCTTTGTTTTGAAAATAGAGATTTTCTCAGTCTGTCTAACATAGGCTGGCAGTGCATTCCACAGAAGCATTGTTCTATAAAAGAAGCTGTTTCTGAAACTATCGCAGTTTGGTACAATAGAGCAGGTATATGTGCTGGTGTCAAATCCTTCAATGACTGATGCCGTGCTCCTTGTGTACCTCATTGTTCCAGCTTCAACAACAGTAATATATTCAGGTAGAGATATACTTACCAAATCATTTACTATTTTATAGAAGAGCGTAATTGAATTATGGATGAACTTAGATCTAATGGGTAGAATTTTAAGCTCCTTCTGCTTCTCATAGAATACAATATCACTATAATGATCAAACTGTTGTCCATTGATCCATTTGATCGCTCTTTTCTGGATTGCCTCAAACTTCGACATGTGTGTCGATCGCTGAGGACACCATATAACTGAGCAATGTTCAAAGATTGATCTTACAATGGTAAGGTAGAAAGCCCTCTTTTGGCGTTTATCCATGGTAAAATGACAGGTTCTCTTTAAGAGCCCAAGCTTCGAGCTTGCTTTAGTCTATATCAATTGATCACAATGTGCACCCCACAGAAACCTGTTGTTCATTATTACACCAAGATCTGTATGGGATGCCACATAATCAATTATGACTTCATTAAGATTATACCAATAAATATTAAAAGGAAGATTGTCTAATACATTTCTTTGCAGAGTTACAGATAACACCTTACACTTTGAAGGGTGAAAAGTCATTTTGTTATCGATTGACCAGGCAAACAACCTGTCTATATCTCCTTGGAGAATATAGTGGTCTTCAAAGCATTCGATGACCCTCCAAATTTTGGTGTCATCTGCATACAATGCTACATTTGTATCCTCCGAAACACACGAGAACATGTCGTTGATGAATAGAACAAACAGAAGTGGTCCCAGAATAGATCCCTGGGGCACTCCTGATTGCACGGGAAGCATGCTTGAGACAGCTCCGCCTACAACAACCTGCTGTCGTCTGTCTTGTAAATACGACTTTAAAAATCTAAGCATTAGACCATCAATACCATATAAATTTTTTAGCTTGCGAAGGATTAAGTCATGTGATACACTGTCAAATGCCTTAGCAAAATCAAAATAAACAATGTCGGATCTTGACTTATTGTTCAGGGCCAGTGCAAGGTTGTCTGTGAATGGGACCATCTGGGTAGTGCAAGACTTCCCATTCACAAAACCGTGTTGTCTACAGTCGATTAACCCTTCACAAGCTGCGAGCAACTCTTTCGAAATACAACGTTCAAAAACTTTCATAACTAAGCATGTCAGTGAGATGGGTCTGTAATTTTCAACAGATCCTTTTTCACCCTTCTTGTGTACCGGAACAACAGAAGCAAGCTTCCATTCCTCCGGCACACATCCAGTCACAAAAGAGCTGTTGAAAATCATGGTTAGAGGCTTTGCAAGAGTGCTCGCACAATTTTTTAACACAGTGCCATGGATACCATCTGGACCTGCGGCTTTACCCGGTTTAACCCCTTTCAAAATTAACAAAACATCCAACACGTGAAATCTCAAATCCATAAAATTGTTACTGGAGCTCATGTCGATGTCAATGTCATATGAGCTACTTGAGGAGAATTGTTGATAGAAGTATTCATTGAATAAGCTAGCCTGTTCAACTGGTGTGTTCCTAAAACGATCACCGTATCGGACCGTTTCAGGTATCCTAGTCGACTTAGACTTTGATTTCACGTGTGTCCAAAACTTTTTGGAAATAAGGGCAGAATCAGAATCATCTTCGACACTGAGTCTCATCTTTTCGTTCATTATGCGTTTAAAATCTTTGCGGTACTGACGGAACTTTTCAAGATCAGACTCATTGCCAGATTCATTAGCCTTTTCTCTCCATTTCTCTTTATCTCTCAGAACCCTATCACAATCAGAGTCATACCAAGGCGGCTGAAACTCACACTTAACATTTTTCTTTGGGATATATTCATTGCAGAGTTTAATCAGAACATCTTTGAAAAGAGGCCAGGAAATGTGTGGATCATGAGACCCAGCCACATTATCCCAATTGACCCGCCTCAGAGCAAAGTTCAAGCCGTCCCAATTGGCTTTGGTATAGTTATATACTTTGCGTTTAGGAGACTTTCTGCGGCTGACATTGAAGTTTATCCCAAAGTTGATACCAAAGTGGTCAGATAAGCACGCCTCATTATGATCCAGTATTTTTAAATTAGTAATAATATTAGGGACATTTGTGAACAGTAAATCAAGCACATTCCCTGCTTTATGTGTAGGTTCATTAATTAGTTGAGTGTGTCCTAGGTCACCAGTAAGGAAATCCAGGAAGCCATTTTGCAGTTCACAGGATGTCTCACCAGCAGGCCAAGAAACACAGTTCAAATTCATATCTCCTATTAAAACATGCTTGTCAATCTTCTTTTTTAAGGCAAGAGTTCTAAAATAATTAGAAAATTCCGCGTAATTGTCGTCGCTTAGAGTCCCCACTCTATAAAAAGTCGAAATACACAACTTTCTACCAGTCGGAAGCTTTAAGACAACAGACAATAACTCAGCTTGAGCTTTCACTACAGCTATCCTAGTACTAGTAACATCTAGATCAAATCTATGAGCTATTAAGACTCCACCCCCGTTTTTTCTAAACCTCTTAGGTCGTTCAGGATCCCATGGATGAGTTTTGAGGGACCTGTCCAACCTAAAGATTTTATAACCAGAAGGTAAAATCTCACTATCCAATATTGACTTTTTCAGCCAAGTCTCATTTAAAATAACAATATCAGGTTTGTTTGTATACAAAAAACCATGTAGTTCATGTACTTTCGTCATGTTAAGTGGTGGGTTAACTGACGCAAGGTCACGAGTGTTAATTAGACCTTGTACATTGTTATAAAAAACAGATATAGGCTTTTTCCCAGGTCCTGGATTTAAAAGTGACGTGTTACATATAATAAGCAATATTAGGTTCAGGGAGAAAGTGTAGATAACCAGAGCAGTAAGAACACCAATCCATCTCAGAAAGAATTGGAATGATCTTCTCAGAGCAGATGATTTACGACGCTTTAAATAATAAGATCCTTTATCAAAATATCTCAGAATAAATGCTGTCATAATTATTAGGAAATACAGGTTAATACTACTACAAAGGCTGGGAAGATTACCAGGTCTACCAATATGACTAATATTCTTTAATCCACTGTCCACACGTGTTGATAGATCCAACGAAATAACAATAATAAATAACAAAATATACAGATATAAAATTAGTGAACTGACAAACAATCCAATGGGTGAACATAACTGGGACAACACAGACACGTAGCAGACTTTTCTTTTACCACAAACTTTTCGAACAACAGAATTAAACTTTCCAGTGCATATGCGGTGTTGCTGGTCATTTATTCCCATGTGTAGCAATGTCACGGTTGTGTTTTACCCAGGTGTATCTATCACTCAAAATTCACTTTTTAATACATCATCTAAATAATTTATCTAACAAATATGAATCATACTTAAATACCAATCTCAGTAACCCAACGGATTAAACCATGTTGAGTGAATGAGAAAGATATAGTGTCTTGCTAACACACCCATACCCCTAGCATTGGGGTGAATATCCCACTTCTTGGATTCCAAACTATACTTAGGAAATAACTGGTAGTTCCTGCCGCCCCATGAACTAAGGAAACTACTAAAGACATCGAGGTAAAATAATTTAAATTTGGAACAAAGACTAAAGAGTAGTTTGTTCATAGAGACCACGTTTTGTTCTCCCTTGGGGTTACCGTTAGCAGGTATAGGGAGGAGGGACTGGACAAAGATCTTTGCTGAAGGAGCTAAGGATTTAATTTTTGACATAAAGTTCTGCAGAGGGCTTTTAAGGTGTAATATGCCAGTCTGACAGTATCGAATGTCGTTAGTCCCTACACACACAAACAGTTTCTTAATCTCTAGATCAGGGTGGTCTCTCACAAATTGCTCGATTGAGTGTAATACAGCATCAATCTTGCGACCACCCTTGGCGACTTTGAAAACTGTCTGTTTACCCTTGGCCAGTTTTTCAATATCCAGTCGCTCAAAATATGAATCTCCAGCGAGAAGTATGATCTTCTTCTTAGGGCGGGCTGAATGGAGGTCAGTGTTAGGAGGAAGATGTTGAGGAGGAGTAGAAGGATGATGAGGAGTAGAAGGATGATGAGGAGTAGAAGGATGATGAGGAGTAGGAGGATGATGAGGAGAAGGAGAGGAAAGAGAAGATGTAGGAGTTTTGAGTGGGTCAGTTAGGTTCCTAAAGGAAAGACTGTATCTGACACCAGTCTCAAGGCCCGGAGGAACTCTATGCAGTAGTCTGGACTGACAGCCAGCCTTCATAATATTGAGAGACTGGTCTGTCGCAGGCACAGAAAATTCTGGGGGAGGAGGGGTACCTTTCCTGAGTGAGAGGTTGTTGTCGTTCCTTATAAAGTACAGTTCTCTTGCTGCACCGAACGACACCGTACAAATATCACTGTCCTGATCTATTAATGGTTCGTTGTCGTCGTGGTAGTTCAGGTTAGCTCCTTTGCAGGACATACAGCTGACTAAACAAGCAGTCATATTCCCAGAGGTGGCCTTATTGCCGTTGACAATGTTCATCAATTCAACAATCCTGGGGAACTGACTGATTGGTTGGGGCTTGTTGACCACCCTTCCATACTTGTAGGACTCAATGCGGGGACTCAGCCACAAGGTCTTTACTCTCGTTCCTCTTGTGCGAAGCTTCATTGTTTTAAGTTCATCCAATACCCCATCAGCCAGGGGCTTTGGAAGGTCAAGCTGGACATGTTTAACAAGATCCGAAAACTTCTTAGGCTCAGGAGTTGAGGGATTAATAAAGGACTCTTCAGATGAGGTGAAAGGTGTCGGATGATCTTCTGGGAGGATATCGATGGCATCTTTAAATTCTTCTTCATCGTCATTAATGAGGGACAGAATGTGATTTTTCTGCTCCTGGGAGGCACTGAGAAGAAAATCAGTGATGAAGGAAGGTAGAAGTGGGGTTGGGAGAGTTTGCATCAATGGACAAAGTTACACCAGGTGATCAGGATGGCAATCGGGGTACTAGGCAGCAGTCACCAGACATTCCCCGTAAAATGGAATGTAACGGCCTGAAAATAGAGACGGGCAGAGGGGAGTAAAACTTATCTGGGGGGTAAATTAAGTATCAATATAGATCAGATCAGAGGAAGGAAAAAGATCAATCAATGATAACAGTCTAAAGTTATTTAAGGTAAAATGTGGATCTAAAATGAAATATATGTTCAATTACTAGCCTGATTGAGAAGTTTAGGACCCCAGACAAGCTGGGGGATGCTAGGAGAACTGCCGCTGCCTACCCTTCATGCCACCTTCACAACCAGGGACTTCGGCTGGCTTTTACTCTGACATCGGCTGACTTCCGTTGCCATAGTTTTTAGACATGCCTAAATTATTTGTTATATAGTAGTGTTGAAAGTAAATACCTCATTTCATTTCATATTGATGATTTAAGGCATGAGAACGAGGCATCTAATAAATAACTCCTCTCTCAGGTAAGAGGGCGGTATCGTTCTCAGAACAGAAAGCAGAGGTTATCCCTCCCGCACCTTCTACATCGCCTCCCCAGGTATACTCACATCATTCTGAAAATTGTTTGGCGCTTCCTTGTATTGACCTAGTAACTACTCTATAGCCCCATTATTTTGGTACCAAATATGTTATTGTTAATCTTTGAGGGTAAATTGTTAGCGGAGAGTTGCTGTAGTTAAATGAAATCTACTATTTTACAGTCATCTGACGAGGACGAATCTGTGACATTAGAACACAGTTTCACGATGAACCGAGAAGAAGGGAAAATAGCTCAAACTGCATACCAGCAAGAATTTATCAAAAATGTGAGATATTTATGATTTTTATCTTGATTGCAATTCCATCATCCATTCACCAAAATCATGGGGTCAGTTTCACCACTTTTTTCTGTACATGGGGTAAAACTTTCAAATTTCCAACTACATCTCTATAACATATTCGCGAATTTCATTCTCTTAGGTGCTGGCAAAATACCTGAACATAAGCATAAAAGAAATAGAAGAATCACTGAAAGACGGGGTGATATTGTGCCAGCTGCTGAATGAGATGAAAAAGAACACAGTTAGGAAGATAATGATGCCCCAAGGGGCTGAGAAGCTGAGCACTATGAAGTCCACTGTCAACCTTAACTCTTTCCTGAGATTCGCGCAGATTAACATTGGAAAGGTTAGTCCACTGTCAACCTTACTCTTTCCTGAGATTCGCGCAGATTAACATTGGAAAGGTAAAGATAGAGTGCGCGGTTATTAGGTTGATATGGGGTTTTCATTAAATCCTTACCGGACCTGGCACGCCAATCCCAATGTGCGGCGCTCTTTTCGAGCCTCTCGCACATACGTGAGAGTTAGAGAGTAATGACTAGCGAGCAATAGCAAATATACAATAGCAAATATAGATTAGCAAGCGCAAGCTATTAGAAATTTGTGAACAGAAATAAGCTCACGTTGTAGGCCCGCCGCACACGCGTGCGCGGCTGTATCGTGGCTTTCACCCGGATAGTGGTGAAACTTGCTTTATCCAAAGCCCTTGCGCGCCCGCCGATCCGGCGGGCGTTTCTTCATACTTGTGAAACAAGCGCGCCCGCAGTGGCGCGAAAGCACATGGTTAGATGATGGATGAATGGTAAATAAGTAGGCTTGAAATGAAAATGGGGGCCGTCACGAAAAAATCCTCCAACAAATGTATCATTGATAATATTTAAACAGCGCACGAGATACTTAATATACTCGTAAAATATTTGTTTCAAATAATATCGGCAGAACATCAAATATTAAACCGTCGAAATGTCTTGCAACTCGGCGCACGTTTCATGTTTCACAGGAGGACTATAATGCAAAGAAACTTGCTTTAACCAGAGCCCTCTCGCTTGCAGTAGCGCGCGACCGCCGTCACGGCAAAAGTGAAACAAGCGCGTCACGCAGTACGCGTAGGCACATGGCTATGTGAACAAAGAAACTGTTGCAAACTGCTGCTCACTGCTGCACTGCTCACTGCTGTACTGCTTGATTCACGATGTCAATCCTTCGCATCTCGCCGATCTGCATACGGTGGTTGCGAGAAGCATTATTTGATGCGCGCGCGACCTTGCTCTATCCAGAGCCCTTGCGCTTGTTTCGGGCGCGCTTGTTGTGAAACAAGCGCGCCCGAAGTGGCGCGAAAGCACATGGTTAGGTAAACGCGCGACCCAGTAGCGCATCGCGCTACAACAACCTACCAGGACGCGCGCCGAGTTGGACTCGTCGACGGTCATGGAACAAATATTTAACGAGTATCACCCGTTAATTTTGTTTCCGCTTACTTTTTCCGTAATTTAAGATCGAAAGTAAACATGAAACACGCTGAGTTATCAATAATTAGTCAAATTTTAATTTGTCAAAAAAATTAAAGCTTTGATCCGTTCATAAGCTTAGATATAACTATTTTTATGCCAAATAATCGAGCTTATTTTTTATACTGGATGGACTTACTGCATTTTCTGAAAAAACTTGGACTTATTTCCTTTTCTGAGAAAAATCTCTTTTCAATTTTTTTCTGAGAAGGAAGTTGATTCACGATGTCAATCCTTCGCATCTCGCATCTTCGCATCTCGCCGATCTGCATACATCTGTGGTTGCGAGAAGCATTATTGGATGCGCGCGCGCGACCCAGTAGTGCATCGCGCTACAAAGAAGGAAGTAAGTCCAAGCTTTTTACTTAATTTTTGAGGTTGGGATCTATGTTGCTCTAACCAGAGCCCTCTCGCTTGTAGTAGCGCGCGACCGCCGAAGGCGGCAAAGGATTCTACTTGTGAAACAAGCGCTCCATATCATATAATAAATGTTTTTGAATAATAGTATGCCCTTATTTAGGCAAACTTGCCAATTTTGAAAGATTTCAGTGCATTAAATAATATCTTATCGATATTTTGATGAAAATGAACTTGATCTAAAAGATATACCTAAACTTAACATTCTCTGCGATAATAACAGCTTAATAACTGCTCCAATGTTTATGTTTTGCGACTAAAATACATCCGGCGTTTTTGAAAATGGCCATCAAATTTTTGTTGAGGCCTAAATGAAAATTTTGATCACTTACGTAAGGTTGAAATGTAATTATACATCGATTCTGAAAATTTCAAGCGAAAATATCGATCGGCAGTAAAATAAGGTTCTTTTTGGAAAATCGCTTTCTAAAATTCCGTTTTTAGCATGATTAGTAGTCCAGCTACTTTTTCCTATCACAGACAATTTATCTCAGAAAAAGCAGTAAAAAAAAAGTCCACGGAATGACTTCCATATCTCAGAAAATTTTCAAGATTTTCTCAGAAAAGGCAGTAAGTCCGGACTTACGTCCTTCTCTCAGAAAATAATTGGCCAAAACCGAACATAATGTTTCTCAACTGGGACTTACTTCCTTAGGAATTGCATGCAACAATGTTTCTATACATTAATATGTAGCTCATGTTGTAGAGAATTTTCTACTGAAAATTTTGATACCAATATTGTCATATTTCGAAAAATTGGACTTACTGCCTTTTCTGAGAAAACGGCAGTGCAGTGAGCAGCAGTGAGCAGCAGTTATATCCGTTTTTTTACTGCGCAATGCACGCCGCGTGCAACTGCTAAAAACTGCTGCAAACTGCTGCTCACTGCTGCTCACTGCTGCTCACTGCTGCTATGGGCCGCGCACGCGACAGCAGCAGTGAGCAGCAGTTAGCAGCAGTTTCTTTGCACTATAGTCCTCCTGTGGATTAGGTTTTAAACTTACAATTAGTTCGTCATACAACGCACGAGTGTGAAGCTCTCCCATGTATCGTAAGATCGATAAACCTTAGTGAGACGACCGTGGGGGTCACGACGTGATACAACAATTAGTGTTTTTTTAATTTTCTAATTCACACACTATGATTTACCCAGGGGAATGACAAGCCAAGCGCCACTTACAGTAAAAAGTTCCGCATGTCAGTTGTCATTATGAACAAAAAATCCTGAGGCCCTAGCTCATATAGATTTTACTCTGCATGCAAATGATATTTAAAGGACCAGTTAACTGAAAAAAAAGTTATCCTCATATTTTGACAGATTGTGACAAATAGCAAACTAAGCAACGAGTCGAAATTCCTAAATCTCTAACTGCTCTCTAACGCGTGTAAATAGCGTTTGTATTATTTTGGCGATGACGTCATAAAGTCCCTCTTGCGCGCAGAGTAGCTCGTGAGACTGTATTTTACAGGTAAAAAATGGACATAATACAATCTTTTCCCCCGAATAACTCGAAAAGTAAGTAATTTAGGGTACATGTTGCTTCATAAGTTGTATATAAACATGGCCATTCTGCACAATTTGCACACATTCAAAAACCTTTAGGGCCTTCATAGCTCAATTAACAAGATACCCATAGTTTTGCATGATTTCTGGAACCGAAAATCAGTTTTTCGCCAATAACTGAAAAAGTAAGCACTTTAAGGCATATGTTTGTTCGTAAGTCATATATTAATATGCTAATTGCGGTTCTTTTGCATCCTGTCTGAAGACTCCATCACGATCATATCGAAAATGGGCTTAGCACCACGCCCAAAATGGTTTTTGGCGAATTTATCGAAAAGTAAGGATTTTAGGCCATGTGTTGCTCAATAACTCCTATATAAACATGCATATGCGGCTTCGTTCAAGCCTATTTTGAAGTCTCTACGACCTTCAGAAGCAAGGGGTCGGTTACGTTATTGGGTCAATATGGGCGTGGCCCTCCTGGGTTTTCTCCACGGTCAAAAAAATGTCTCCAAACGAAAATCGTTTAATCATAACTTTGGGAAGGTCTGTGCAAAGTTTCGTGAGTATTAGAACATTTGCAGGTTCATTTCCATAAATGTCCATAAATGACTGGACTACACAACTTTAGAGTTAACTTTAGAGAAACTCATAAGTCACTTATCTCAAATTAAGCTGTTAGTGTCCATGATCAACCTCTGGCGACAATGTTTTACGTGAAATGTAAAAATCAGGAGTAATATAAAAAAGGTGTATTTTTAGATTAAAGTGCTAGCTCATAGTTTTAGAATTGTATAGATTAACGTTGGTCATTTAGCCATCTAACAATCGATCGTGCCGTAATATATGGCCAGAGAATAATAGGGTCTTGGAAATTCCATAGTTGTTCAGTGGGTCGATCGACTGAACACGTTTGCACTTGGTATTTAAACTTACCAGTAGTTTATTTATGTTATGCACCGATGATAATGCAATTAGGATAACAACTAGGTAAGCCGGAAGTCTAATTCAAAACACACCTCACACCGTACACACCTCCAATCAGTAATTTTACTATTTGGTAGACCGGGTATTTTGGCGGGAATTCTGTTCCCACGGCACTGTTCTGATAAAAGCTACTTCTACTAATGGTCCCAGAGGAACGGCCGTAAAGTAGCCAGACTTCTTGTCTCCTGTACTGGCAGACACTTGCAGATTAAAGTTAGAAATTTCGCTATGCTATAAATATAATTGCTCTCGGAATTGAACAAACTCCTACTTATCTGTATCCTTTCTAAATTCGTTAGAGTTTCATGGACTGGGGAAAAATAATCGGTACAGTCTCCCTGCTTGTGTAATTAAGCAATGAAAACAATCCAAAATTATCACATATGACATAAGTTGTAATAGCAGAAACTTTCTAACCGTACATTCACCCGCCACTGTTCAAGAACCTATATCACTGTTTAAAATCATGACGTGAGCACTGTACATCCAATCAGCTATTCCTTTAGTTAGGATGATAGCCAAAACTATAAGGATTTTGGAGAACTAGGGTAATAGTCATAATTCTAAAATTTGAGTGAGTTACACGTGTTTTATTGACGATGATAAACATTTGTAATGTAAATTACGCTATGCAAGCGCGCACTGAGGGACTTTATGACGTCACGAGGCCACAGCTTATTATTGCAATAACACGCGTTACACGTACGCTAGAGAGTTGGTTCTTTCGGCGATACGATTCTTTACCAGTTTGTCACAGCTGATTTAAATCTTAGCCAAATTGGAGACTACAAATTTTTCAGTTAACTGGTCCTTTAATTAATGTAGTAAATACCTCAACTTATTGGGACACCCTATAATATATATAAACTACTGTTTACTGTTCTTATCTCTCAAAAGTGACCAACGAAATTTCTACAAAGTCTAGTGTGATCATGACGTTATAAACCTGCACTGAAATCATTACAATTTGGGCTAGAAAGGACACAGAGACTTCCGAACAGATGCAAAATATCAGCATTGGCCATAATTGTACACAAATATTATGAAGCAACACCTACCCCATAATAATAGCAAATAGATAATCTCTATCAGGGTTACAGAGGTGTCAGAACTCTTCCACCCACGACGATAAGTGATTTGAACCTAAACCTGATCAACACTCCTAAATGTTAAAAGGTCACGGAGTGCTCGTTAGGTGAGGGTCTGAACTGCTTGTTGTTTTGATGTGAATTTGTGGATTTTCATTTTTAGTTGACCATTTATATATTACAAAGGGTTGTATTTTTACCCCGGTTTTTAAAATTTGTGCCATTTTTATAACACTTACCCCATACCTTAAAATACTAAATTTTTGGTGGTTACGTCGAAAAATTGAATTATGCTTTTCCCAAAAAGAGCATAAATGCTTTATTCGCCTACCTATGATCTATTATATAGACCATAACTCGGAAAACAAGCATTTTAGGACAAATTTTGCTTCATATGTTGTATATATAATAATATACATCTATGACCTATTTGAAAGTTTCTGTGACTTTTCTAGCCCAATTTTTAACCTACCTTTATTTCAGCTTAATCGTGAAGCCAAAAATAAGTTGCTGGCTAATAATTCGTTGAATTAGTTTGTTAGGATATATTATGATGTTTCATAAGTTGCATATAAATGTGCTAGTTTCGGCTATTTTGCATTTATTCTGAACTCTGCAATACCTTCCGAACGAAAGCTAGGAATATTGACCAAAACTTGTTAGCTAATCATTCAATTTTAGCAAGTCTAGGTTATGTTCTCTGTATCATGGAAAGGTTATGACTGAAACGGCTGTTGTTGTAGATAATATCCTAGCCCAGGAGAAAAGAGAAAAAGGAACTACCGTGGCTCCCTCTTCAGAAGCAACTCTTTTAGGCTTTGGCCAGAACACTTCAGCTGAATTGCTTTTGTCGTCCAGTAAAAGGAGGTGTATGCACCCTAAAATTCAATCCAATGGAGATCTTGTTCTTAACGAGGGGAATCAGCCAGGGTCTAATCTGAGCTTTAATGTCAATAACTTTGTATCAGAGGTGAAGATAACTGTCAGTGATTATATTTCCCAGCAGTATTTGGTCAGGGGATCACCAAACTACAAAGTTTTAAAGGTGAGTGCTATTAAACTCAGTCTAAGTGTAGAGAATAACTTCAAGTAGGAAAGTGTCTGAGCTTATCTAAACATAAAATTGATTATATTTGTTCATTATTTATATCTTTATCTCCAAGTTTTTGTAAATGTCTTTATATCATGAGTCATTTACCGATCTGTCTGTTTGTTTTCTGACAAAGTACTCTACGGAGCAAATACAAATATATGATCTGCAAAGTTATGCAATGGATATATCTGACTACAAGATTCATGTGCGTAACATAAGATTCATATGCGATTGTGCAAGATTACAATAACCAGGGACATCAGATATGTTATTAATAGTTCAATGAAACAAGAAATTTCAATGAAACAAGAAATTTAATTTTAGCACATTTTACAGAATAAAAAGATGTAAAACAATTCATAAAATATAATGCCCATTTGGTGTATGACTTTTTGTCCTTGACTGCTAGTTTGGTTTTGGAAGGACAGGTAACTAACGGGGCAAGGAATGCGCGTGCCTGAAAGCTTTTGCACACACCGAAACGCTAGTTCAGTTAGGTTTTCAGAGACAAGGCTCATATTAGGACTAGAAGATATAACTGTCTTTATATCATGAGTCATTTACTGATCTGTCTGTTTGTTTTCTGACAAAGTACTCTACGGAGCAAATCTGCAAATTTATCCAATGGATATATACGACTATAAGATTTATGTGTGTAACATAAGATTCATGTGCGATTGTGCAAGTTATTAATAGTTGATACAATGGGTAATATTGTTATTGCTATGTTCATTTTTCTTTTATGCATTGTCCATGATGGGAGTAATCTCGCACGTCATGTAACATAAAGTTATATAGATCCATTGTATCACTCTGTAGGTTTTCTTTTTTTGCATAACACTTGTTTATTTCAGGATAAGATCAGAGAATACTGTTTGTCAATGAAACCAACAGGAATGAAAGATGATGCCAGTTGCAGAGTTCTTTACCTCGTAGGTTTTTTGTTATCATACACTGAAGTGTTCTTCGGTTTGAAAATAGATTTAATGTACTTTGCTTAAGGGAGCATTGATAATTCGTAAAATTTTGAATCAAATTGATCAATATTATGAATATAATATCAGTATTGATAATATAGATTCTGAAATGCCAGGAGTAACATTAAACAATAAACATAATTAGTTCTACGTTATAGAGGTTAGAACCAACCCATGAAAAATGGTTATCAATAATAATGGACAATATTCAGAAGACAGAAATTAATGCAGGATTATCGTCTTCATGGTCTTTGGAACGTTTCTGTTTTTACTCTTATTCAATCCTACTGACCCATAGTAATAGGCTGCAAATTTTATTACCCAAATTCATTCTTACACAGTCATAAATAAACAGAAATTTAACCAAAATCATTTATCTTGATCTTGTTCCTGAATTGTGATACAGAGCAGTAATTCTAAGTGGAACTTGTTGCAACAAATTATATTATATGATAATTGCCTTAATGGTAGCTGATAAAGTAGAATAGAATATGTTGTCTGCACCTGGCACACTCTTGAATATAATTTTTGAAGAAACAGCATTAAAAGCTTGCTAGCAGTATGACGATATGGTAGGCAATGTTTATCTTATTATACCGAATACGGACAGAAGTACAAGACCTTAATTTAAGCACTGATTTCTCGAACCTGAAAAGTTTTCTTGATATTAATATGAAGGCTGCTCAGGCATGGTCAATGTTGTAATTTCTTTAACATATTCAACAATCGTAACAAACTCAGATTAATGAATTTGATTGTGTGGTTTCTGCATTGAAAAACATCCGCATTGGCCCATCTAAAATATGCTCCAAAAATTAAAAAACAACAATGTTTTATGTTATTGTTGGGCCTTAACCAACTAAGTAAATGTTATTGTTCGCCTGTACTATGAGCCATTTCTTCTAATGCTTTTAAAACTCTTGTTTAAAGGCACTGGCCCTGTGGGTATAAAATAGATTTCTGATGAATTTTTGACACTGATTCCTAAACACCCACCATGAGTTATGGGCAAATAACTTTAATTTTTTCTTAAATTATCGTGTTGGAAATTATCGTTTGTAATCTCTTTCCTGTTACAATAGTAAATAAATTGCCCTAACTCATTTCCCGGACAGGTATACAAATCCCTGCCCGAATTAAAGAGAACGGACGAAGCTGACTCGATAATCCGGAAGATGATTGGAAAGCACATCAGAAACGCCAAATACCGGGCCAAATGCAAGCTCAGAGAATGGTGAGTTGGAGACTATAACTTAGTATAATTACGGCATATAAACTTGTAGACTACGCGTACGATCTAAACGAATTCACACGTTTTGACGTACAGTTTAGGTTCATACTATTATGATTGTGGTCGTAACCTTCTATCCTCCTAATTTGCCACAGTCCACTTACCTTCACATTTCGTAACTTAATCAAAATATTAAAAATTCATTTAACACGTCGAGTTAATCGAATTGTATTAGAATGAAAGCTGCCTCATCGTTTGAAATCACATACACGTATCAGACACACAGATTTATGTGACCAAAGGAATAGATTTCTTAAGAATTCTTTAAAATTATTTCCCACGGGTATCTTTACTTTTGATTACAACCCACTGCATATTTTAAAAATAACTTGAGTGTAGCGGTTACATAATATAATATAAAATAAAATATTGAAACTTTTAAAAACTCACAATCAAAGCTGCCAAATACCTGAAATCACAGAAATATGTAATTACAACACTTCAAATCTATTATATTTATTGAGTATTATGTATCGCGGGGGGGGGGGGGGGGGGGGGGGGGGGGGGGGGGGGGGGGGGGGTGGGGGATCAGGTACTAAGTGCCGTACGTGACGTCGACTAAGTTTAAATTTGGACTTTACAAAAAGGACCCACCCATCCCCTTCACGGTACTAACTGCTTTTTCATAATAATATTTAGGACACCCACCCCCTTTTGCAGGCTTTTGCGGTACTAACTGTTGAGAAATCACGGTACTAACTGAGTCTGGGTATATAAAATAAGATTAAAGATGCCCACCCATAAATTGCTTTAAACAGCTCATTAAACATTGGAAATGGGCAAATTATACCCACTATTTAGTAGAGGTTTTGTTTCCAATGTAGTCGAATTAGATAAAAAGTTACAAAAAAAATTTAAAAATTACAAAAAAACCCAAAAAAAACTCAAAAAAACCTCAAAACCCACTCCGAAAATTGAAATTTGAGGTTAAATACTAACTGTTTTTCTGGGAAATGAGCAGCAGACCCACCAAACCCTAGCTCCATAACATAAAGTCCTCGTTTTAATTTGAATTGAAAAGCACTATAATACATGTATCACACGAACCCCATAGATTTATGGGACAAAAGGAATAGAATTCTTTAGAATTGATCCCTTTAGAATTCTTCAGAATTGATCCCTTTAGAATTCTTCAGAACTATTTCCCACAGGTTTCTTTACTTTATTATTACAAACCACTGCATATATTTTAAAATAAGTTGAGTGTAGCGGTTACATAATATAATAAAGATAAAACATTAAACCTCATTTTAAAAACTTCGCATCATTCTAATTCTCTGCTGTATATGTACTTCATATCAGCTTCACAATAACTCAACACCCCTCACACGGATGATCCACACTCATTCTCCACTTCTTTACAATTTCCCGGTATGTGTAGGTGTACGTGTGCTACACACAGCCCGTATTGCTGTACCCACTATTGTGTTGCTGCGCGGCTCCGTCACTGCTTTATCTTTGTTCTCCAGTTCTTCACTTTATCGGTCACGCACAGAATTTTAATTGCAGCTGTGTGTAGGTGTGAGTTTTTGAGTGGGTCAGTGGGTGAGGGAAGTACAGTGTACAGTGTACAGTGTACAGTGTACAGTGTACAGTGTACAGTGTACAGTGTACAGTGTACAGTGTACAGTGTACAGTGTACACGTTACGTTACATGTTGACAAATACCTTAGCCAGTTCAGTAAAGGCAGATCTGGGTTGTGTGCAGCAGTGGAAATAATTGTATTCCTGTTCACTTTCGAGTTGCTTAAAGTATTCCCCCAGATAAGGTACGCAACGACCATTCTACAACTCCAAGTGTCTTTATTGGATCAGGAAAATTACCATACCACGTCACGTCTAATCTGTTTATAGGCTATTTTATTTGTTAGAAGAGTGTGATTTGCAGTAAAGAACGACTCGGAGGCGATCGTGACTTATTTATATATAATTTAATTCAGGTTTTCTTCATTATATCTCCGTTACTTTCAATTGCCATATCCCCACGTAAGAGCGCTTCCGCAGGATTTTCCACAAAAAACTGGAGGCCAACACCACAAAGGGGGTATTTGCAAATGTTAATCAGTTCAAGAACCTGACTGTTTGTGTATGTGACAAGAACTTGACTGTTTGTGTATGTGACAAGAACCTGACTGTTTGTGTATGTGACAAGAACTTGACTGTTCGTGTATGTGACTAGAACCTGACTGTTCGTGTATGTGACAAGAACCTGACTGTTTGTGTATGTGATACTAGGAACTTGACTGTTTGTGTATGTGACAAGAACCTGACTGTTTGTGTATGTGACAAGAACCTGACTGTTCGTGTATGTGACAAGAACCTGACTGTCTGTGTATGTGACCTGACTGTTTGTGTATGTGACAAGAACCTGACTGTTTTGTATCATGTGACAAGAACCTGACTGTTCGTGTATGTGACAAGAACCTGACTGTCTAGTGTCTGTGTATGTGACTTGACTGTCTGTGTATGTGACCTGGCTTTTTGTGTATGTGACCTGGCTTTTTGTGTGTGACTACTCACGAGTCAGGCTTCTAACCAGGTTAGCCGCTACTCTAATTGCCTGAGATTGCATTCTCAGAATCATTTAGCTGGTAAATATATTTACATAAAAACAACACGACTCTCTACCAACATTGCAGTCACGCACATAATTTAGACTTTAAAAGTTTAAAAGTTACCATTTCAAAGTGCTGGCCCACACAACACTCATGGCCTACTTCTCGGTTATGGCTGCATGCCAATAATGGCCTTAATATGTCACTAACAGGTCATACAATACATGGGGGGGGGGGGGGGGGGGGATCATACACTTAGTACCGTACGTGACGTTGGGGGGGGGGGGGGTTGGTCATATTTTCTTCCAAAACACAGTTAGTACATGGTACTAAGGGGGGTCTCCAACCCCAAAAAAACCCATTTTACCTCAAATTTCAATTTTGGGAATGGGCTTTGAGGTTTTTAGGGTTTTTTTCCATTTTTTCCCCAATTTTTTTGCCCAGCAATTTATGGATGGGTATCTTATTTTATATACCAAGACACAGTTAGTACCGTGATTTCTCAACAGTTAATACCACAAAAACCGGCAAAAGCCGCGAAGGGGGTGGGTGGGTCTTTTGACAAAATTCCAAAATTACACTTAGTCGACGTCACGTACAGAACTTAGTACCTGATCCCCCCCCCCCCGCCCCCGCAATACATAATATTATGTTGCTATGTATTTACACCTCATTATTCAATATCACATCTGAAATGATGGCCAATAATATAAATATATAGGAGATTATAAGCAGTGTAGACCACCACGTACAGTGCACATTACATTGTAGGATATTCTGATGTTTCTTCATGTAAATGTAAACTCGGAAATATACGCACCTGTTATTATACTGGAGGGAGGGAGGGAGGGAGGGAGGGAGGGAGGGAGGGGTACTCTTCAGGGAGGGAGGGAGGGAGGGAGGGAGGGAGGGAGGGAGGGAGGGAGGGAGGGAGGGAGGGAGGGAGGGAGGGGTACTCTTTAGTTACAACACTGTTCAACCCTTTTTTGCCAGCTTTATAAGCCCAAATTTTGGCCGTCAAAGTTGTCTCCGCTTTATTAAGTCACCTCAAACAGTTCCCGATCCTAATGCTCATGTATAAATCCTTTTACTTTGTGATTCAGTTTGTCTCTGTACTGATTCTTTACGAATTCTAGTTATTAAGTTATAACAATGTACGTGAACCAGCCTGAGTGTAATTAAATTTACGGGAGACTCATAATACGTTATTCAGTTATTCGGTTAATTCGATTTGCGCTAAATATTCTTAGAACTTGGTATCACTTGGTCAAGTTGGAGGCGGAATATTTAATGTATATTAAATTCATTAACGGAGGGCCGTGGAATGAATTTTTGGGCCCGGCGAAAGTTTATCAGGGCCCCTTTGTACTTCTGGGGGACTATTTTACTTGTTCAACTACTTCGATAGACCATTAAAACAACTGCTTCTTTTATTTGCCGTGGATTAGTGTCGGTTTAATAAGTAGTTAATTATCATTTAAAAGTCAGTTACAAACTGATGATCAAATTGTGAAACAATTGCTTCAAAAAAGTAAGAATTAATTTTTTAGCTGTCGGGCGTCGGGCGAAGTTCTGTAAATTTTGTAGGGGAGCTGAAAACTTCCTCTCGAAATGTATTTCAAGGAATGAAATCTAGCAGTGTAAATTTTAACATGGATTTTAACGTTTCACTTATTTTTGAAGAAAGGGCTTTCATGCATGACATTAAGCAATGATAATGATAATTGTAGCACGAATCACGATTTATACGCTTATCATAGGGCCCACGGGAAAAAGGGTATGCTGAACTTGAATTCTAAGAATCAGATAAAATGTGCGAATCGTATTGGGAAGGAAAATTGTGTGTGTTTTTGTAAAAAGTCGTACCAGATTACAAAATGCCAACTCATTTGGGTTTTGGCACGTGTCCAACTATAAATGGGGAGGTGATGCAAGTGTTTGTCTGAAGAACGTAGCGTAATAAATGTTCCTTCATAAGAAATATGAAATTGTGATCATTGCCAACATCTCCCTGCTGAGCCGTTGTTTATACTTCCTGAGTTTAGAACTCCTTCGTGAACTGGTGCGAGTGTGTGTCTTCTGCTTCATGTGCGAGTGTGCTTCATGTGCTTCATGTGTTTCATGTGTGCCTTCTGCTGCGTGATCCAAAAGTCTTTGGTAGTATTTTGTTAGCTTCGTAGAGAGATTTGCGGGTAGTAAAAGTAATCGGACTATATTTGTGATTATACCTGGGCACTGGGCAAGCCAACTGAGGTTCAAAATAATTGTCCACAAAAAAGACTAGGAATTTCTTGAATTACTTTTTATGATCTTAGCGATTTTCAGTATTTTACCTTTCCCAATATAACTACCTAAACGATGCATCTCTGTGTGGGTCACGCACAGTAAACTATAGCTCAAGTCTCAGCACGTAGTTCACCACATCTCTTCTGCCGAAATAATTATAGAATTTCGTTCTATGTTAACAATTTTCAATATTTTACCTTTCCCCAATGTACCTACCTAAATGAAGTGTCTCTGTGTGGGTCACGCACAGTAAACTATAGCTCAAGTCTCAGCACGTAGTTCACCACATCTCTTCTGCCGAAATAATTATAGAATTTCGTTCTATGTTAACAATTTTCAATATTTTAACTTCCCCCACACAATGTATCTAACTAAGTATCTCTGTGTGGGTCACGCACTGTTTTAAATATATCTAAACACGCAGTTCGCCACATGGGCAGGTTAACTGATGAGCATTTCTCATTCTTTTTAATTTGTTACGAAACAGCATTACAGTTCATGGTTCTGGCGCGGCTTGTCATTTCTGGAACTGATCCGCAGAATTTGAGCCACAAAGAGGATTGAAAAGTAGTATTGCGGTCAAAATATCAGATTTAGACATAAATTAGAGCCTGTACATCGAATTGTCATTGGGCGTTTTTATTACAAAGGGGTTCTATAAATTCGACTCCGATGTTTAAAATTGTTACCGTTTTATTTAATTAATTTATTGATTTATTCAATATTTATGATTCAATTAATAAATTTGATAAAACGGTAACAATTTTAAATAGATATCTCACCTTATTATTGGATAGTGACCACGGCTGAAATTATTTGAATATAGTGTTTTATTTATATTAGGGAGCGTGTACTGTGCTTGAAGTTTGTGGTCCTCTCACAAAATACCGCATGAAATCCACATCTTACGTCCTATTATTATCAAACCACCTCATTATATAACTCAATTCAATTATATATATATATATGATATATATTACATAATATGTCAGAATAACCTGTACTCTTCATTATTTACGCTAATTTTAAATGTAATACTTTCGTCGCCACTATGCAACAAATAATTTGAGGTAGATAATATGTAGGAAGAGCGAGAGTTGGGCCCGTTATATTAATATAAGCCTACCTATGCTGTTTCTCAAGTAACAGAACTACAGGATAAGCTAGCTTCTTACTGTGTATACATGTACCTGTGCTGGTCCACAGCTGGCAGCAAAACAAATGTGGTCTGCTACTTTCGTTTACATAATGGCATACTTTCCTTCTAATATGTGATGTTTTCTTACTATGGCTAAATAAACAATGGTCAGTAATAAGTCGCGCTCCCGTTTCAAGATTCCACGTACATGCTTATTGTTTATTGTTATGGACATGGTTAACGTTTCACAAAATTTGTACGCAACTAAGTTTAGTTGTTTGCTGGATAATTTGAGGTGCTTAATCATACTACTTCGAGTCACAATGTCCAATCTAGCGGAAAAGTGGATGTTATTTTTAAGTTTATAGCGATTTGTACAGCAACTGATATACAACGCTACAACGCTACAGCGCTTCTTGTATTTCCTAATTTGATCACTAACATGATTGGGGTTTTCTGGTTTAGCCTCAATACTCAATTCTACAGGAAACTCCAAAAATGCCCGAAATTAAGTCATATCTAATGATATAACCTTCCTTTCAGTAAAATGACAGAAGCAGAAAAAGGATCCACGATTGCCCACAAAAACGACTCCCAGGAAAAAGTAAGAATTTAAAAAAATCTTAGCAATTTTCAATATTTTACCTTTCCCCAATGTACCTGTCTCTGTGGGGTCATGCACAGTAAACTATAGCTCAAGTCTCAGCACGTAGTTCACCACATCTCTTCTGCCGAAATGATTATAGAATTTCTCTCTATCTTAGCAATTGTCAATATTTTAACTTCCCCCATTGTACCTAAACAAACGTATTTTGGTGTGGCACACACACTGTTAATTATATCTCGACACGTAGTTGGCCACATCACTATTCACTTCTGTCGAAATACAGCGTATGCGCCGAATAACTGTTCGCATTTCCCAATTTTCCAAGCACAAGGGCACAGAGCAGGTAAATGTAAATCTACAAATTGCTTAGAGGGGAAGCGAGCTCATTGGTCAGCGCTTCCTGTCTTCTGAGTGTGTGGAATAAAGCCTGTACGTGGGGCTCTTTATCTCCTTAAATAAATTAAGTTCCGTAAGGGGTCACGCACACTCTTATATGGAACGCGCGGCCCATTATTTTGCATTGATAGTTGCGCGTTCATCCCATGCGACCATGATATGCGCGCATATAATATACCTAATAATATACAAATACAAATGACGCGCGTGTCCGTATTAGATTCCATCACGTACTCAGAACATAGAACGCTTTCTATTTCTGCGATATTAATCAGATACAAGATAGGACTTTACCTTCGTTTTAATAATAATGTGCGTACGTGTGCAGATTATGTTGATGAAAGCGCTTTCCAAAAACTTTAGCATTTAGACACGAACACTAATCGATTAGCATCAGTGCATTCAGAGCAAGGCCAGTCTTGTGCGGCTTTGCATGCGTATGCAATACGTATTTAACGAGTTCCGCTACATTTATTACATTATAGCTCTACTGCCTAACTAGCGATCATCTTTGTCTATAGATTCAGCATATCATATTCCAATGTCTAACTTTACTTTTTCAGGCGAATTACCTTCCAGAAGGATTGCTGAACCCCAACTTACTGGTTATGCTGCACTCAGAAGCATACAAGTTGAAAGACCCATTTAGAAACGAGATATTACAGACATCTGTCCGGGACAGCCAGAACATACGGTCTAACTTAGCAAACGCAATTAAATCCCCAACCCTGTCACCCGGCGATGATTACTCTAGAAAGGTGTCCTACGGGGGACACTGCTCTTTAGCTCATCTCAACAATAATGATGTCAACAACAATAACAACATCAACGAACAATCCGCTTTCAGCAACATTCTAACTCCTCAGATAACTGCGTCCAGCTCACTTCATGTATCGGATGCTATGGTGACCACTGGTTGGGTTACTAATAGTAATGGATTTGGCAACACTGAAAAACCTCCTGTTTACACGGTAGCCAACCGCTCTCCTGGAATAAACCATGTGGTTGAAATAAAACAGGAACCAACGCCCTCTCAAAATGGAGACAACTTGTTTAGGACAAATGGCCCTAGAGCAATGAGTCCTGATTGTCCACCTGCAAACCCCGAAACTACAAAACCTAGTCTCATGATCAATGCGACTCGGCGCGCGGAACAGAGCCCCAAACAAGCCCTTCCGCCACCACCACCCAGTTTGAATACACTACCCGAACTTAACGAAGTCTGTGAGCATCGACTCAAATTCATCACAGGGTTGACTTATGCCTGTTTCATCTGCAATGATTACTTTGAGAGAGTACCTGCGGTAAGGCTGCCTTGCACACATTGTAAGAAAGTGTTTTCTCATCGACATTTACTTTTACAGCACAATAATGAGGCGCATGCTTTTGAGAACGCCACCGGATGATATGAACTTAACTTTTAACTGTTGTAAAAATTGTCTTTAACATCAGAACAGTTTGAATATTAAAGATAAATTTTATGGAAATAATATTCTGTAGCAGTCTTATTTAGAGATCTAGTCATTATGATTTACCGAGGGTTGGTTTTCTACAAGCTATATTAGTTTTATGTTGTGAAAGCTGTCGGATACTCGGAAGCTGTTAATTGAATAAATAAATGTAGATAATATGGTAGTGACAGTATAGAAACATTTTCGACCAGTCTTCTGCAGATCTGTTCCGCTGGCCTTAGTCGTAGAAAATCAAATAGTAATGTGGAAGCGGCTTACAGATCTGTCGTTTGTTATATACAATATACATATTGTGCAGCCCCAATATTGTATGTACCTTTACTTTTTCAAGTTGGAGAGACGCTTTTGTTTTCTCAATGTGCACCTCTAGGGTATGATGGGATGATGTATTATTATGATTTATAATCAAGTTTATGTTGGGTCAATTTGTGAATCTTGAGTTCCATTTCAAATCCAAATATTATTCAATGTTTAAGTGTATTTTACATTTATGGATACGTATCCTGCAGAAAGAGGAGTTGTTTATGTTACTTATTAAACAAATATATAAATACATTAACAAAGCAATTCATGCTTATAATAATTGTTAATTTCATCATCATTACAAATTAATTTAACATCGGTGCTGGAACATGTTGCAGAGGTAAAGTTGGTAATTCATTGTCCAACCGAACAGTAACATAACTTTAATCATCATTACACGGTTAAGATAGTGCTCTATTAATAACTGTGAGTCTACAAACTCCCAAGCCTAAATTGTAAAATGAGGGATGAAGATGATAATGAGATCCGGCCGTTGTCCGTGAAGCATGACCTGCAGATGAATCATGCATTTAACGCGGTAATCGGATAACAAAGCGCTGCAACATGGCTGTAACTGTAACAAGTATTTAGTATATTGTGTTGTATTAAATATTAGGTATGAAGCATCAGTTGATATAGTTACAACAGCTTATTTGTCCGATTTGAAACTGTAAATATTAACATTGGTTAATGGTTATTGTTGTAACCACTGGTTATCGTCAATTACAGTGATATCAATGTATGTTATGTTGATATCAGTGATCAGAAGTTTGTAACTCTGGTTGGTTGTGATCTTCAAAACTTTATAAAGTTGGTAGGGCCACAGTGGTGACAGTGGTCATGGCAACCGTTAAACTTCTAGAAACTGAATTACCTTACATGATGTTGTATTGGAATAATCTGATTTCAGAAAAGGTGAGTTATGAATATGGCTGAAGTCTAAACGTTCATATGGCCTTGTCACCTAGCTCTATTTACTTTGCTTTAATCTCCACTTTGTAAATGTATTGCATACTTGCATAGTACATATTACAATTTAATGATAAGTTTGCCTTGAACCGTAACCTAGGAATTAATGAAAAATATGCTGTTCTCATCCAATATATTCAGATTTTGCAAGTATAACGATTACACTAATATCACTAAAGTCTCCACTCCCAATTAATAACAAGTAATTCTGAGCGAATATAAATGCCAGCCATTACGTGCTCACTAAATCGATATGCATGAATTATTATAATCAAAGCTGTGATTCAAATTCAAAGTAGAATCTTCAAAGATGCGGACGGACGCCATTTCATGAAAATCGTTTCCAATCAAAAACGAGATCGAACAAAAATTCGGCGTATCTTGCGCTGCGTTGTGACATTTCCCAGGTAAAAGTCTGTTCGCTGTCGACCACTTCATCAACAACTGCAGACTTCAGCAACAGGTAACATGTATAGTTGTCAATCTATTGTTTGTGTCATGAGTGGCAGTGCTGGTAGACGTCTAAAGTTTTTACCGAGAGTACACGTGCGTAGTCTAAACATGTGTGAGCGAGTTGGATCTTTGAGCACAGTGCACGGTGCCAATTGTAAGGTCACTTTTGTGGTTTGGAAGTTTGTTTAAATATTAATTGCCCGTAAAATCTGGAACTTGTATTTTGGTCACGTGGTTTGCAGTTGTGCAGCTGATGATCGCTTGATAATATTGAGGGGTGAAGCTAGACGTGCAGTCTACGTATCGCGTGCTGTTGATAATTTAATATTTAAAAGATTACCGTCTAGTTCTTCAAAGCATAACATTCGCACGCAAATCGCAGTAATCAGTGCGACTTTTCCGAGTTTTTAGTTAAACTTTCAGTAAATTCAGGAACACTGCACCTGATCATTTTAAACTTTCAGTAAATTCAGTCACAGTATTTACTCATGACTCTGCAAATAGAGCTGATTCAATGTTTACAAAACACCACGATCACTGACCCCTCCTTTTTAAGATTGTGATGCTTGATAGTGATCCGTAAAAACTGTGAAAATGTTAAATGTTTTATGTTGTTACTAAAGATCGAGCTATTGCATATTGATTGGGGCCCATTGAATCGGTATTGTGTGATATTAAATTAATTTAACTCAGACTATTTTTGCCCGACTTTAATTTAATAGCAGTTGCAGGATTGGCAATGTTGCTGATGACGTATGAGGTGTGTTAAGGCGGTGCTACTTTTCCCTGCACTGAAATGATACTGAACACTGATTTAGTAGTCTGTAGTCCACGTCGTTGTAGAATTGGTTACAGTGTCCAAATTCATTGTCCTTTGCATTGTCCCTTGCATGAACGTAACTGCCACTTTAATATGACAGTAACATGAGAAGTGCAAATTTAAATAATCTCCGTACTCAAACGAATATTTTCAGCCGGGCATGCTTCAACTTTCAAGTTGATCTAATCACCCCGTTTTAGCGTACCCTTAAAACCTCTTTAACCTATTCTTAGTTCTTCCAATTACATTAGATGCCCCCTTGTTAAGTTCACCATGGGTGCAAAACAACACCATGGTCCATGCTCTAACCTATGACATACCGTAATGACCTTGAAGCAAGATAGAGTGGTATAAGTGTAGTATCAAATGACAGGAATTTAACTAATAATGGGTCCCAGTTCGTCATACTGCATGATAACTTTGTTGTCCGGACTCCCCGGCCGTAATTTCAGGAGCACTGTGTTTGTTTGTGCTGTGTGGGCCACTTTCACTTTCACCGCTTGTAAATTTATTCCTTTTAGTGGATCGTGTGTTATGTCATGGTTGTTCTTAGAATGAATTGAACTTGTTTTGGCTAGAGTAAATTAGTCGATTGTAGTCTGAGGGCTAGAGTGTAGAGGCACCATTTAGTTAGAGTTGCGGCGGCTGGTGCGATTAGTTTTGAAACAGTTTGTAAGTTTGTATCTGAATGATGACCGTTGGATTCAGTTAAATGGTTCAGCACAGACCACAGCCGGACAATTGTCAGTTGATCGTGTTGAGTCATTGTTAGAGCATTTGTTTTGGCTATCATAATATTTGCGGTCAATTAGTTTTGTAATTGTGGTCAATTAGTTTAGTTCGCTGAATTTGTTATTTTGATCAGATCGGATACTCACCCACGTATAGTACAAGTTTTAAAATCAGTTTTGGGAATGCTTCGAGCGAGACAAGGTGTCTTTCATTAATGTGGCAGTTTTTATTAGTGTGGTATTGCGGCCCAAGGAGATCTCCAATACAATATGTAATTAAGCATTGACAACATTTTGTTCTGTTTGTTGATTTTGTTTGCGGGAGCTGATGCTTGAATTTTCGGCACTTTATAAACGATGCAATAGGTTGATTGCTCTTTTTCTCGCGTTCTATCTGTAAAAGAGTTTTAAACTAACTAAACGTGAGCATTTTTCTTTGTAATTAGATGAAAAACCGTTTGGCTTTTTTCTAATTATTTGACAATGTTTTGGGTTTCTTAATCCACCTTACCATGCATACGGCTATAACACTACTCGTAGTCGTTTGTTTTAGTTATTTTATCATTATATTGTTACGTATCGGTGTAAATGTTTTCATGAGTCGATTTACATGAAATTGAAAGGTTGGTTGCAAAGTCAGTTGAATTTCAACTTGAAAAGACAATTGATCAATACTTTTCATGTATTTTTCTTTAAGCTACGTGAAGAGTTACTTTTAATTATTACAGCTATACTAGCAGAGGAAAGAATCCACAACATGCATTCACCAAACATGGTTTAGTTCAATCTTGGAACTTTTTTCCAACCGACTTTTATTCAACCGACATTTCAACCAACGTTTCACTGGACCGAATACGAAGTTACTATGTCTATACATAGTGTATAGTGTATAGTGTTACTATGTCTATAGTTATACATAGTGTATAGTATTACTATGTCTATACATAGTGTATAGTGTATAGTGTTACTATGTCTATAGTTATACATAGTGTATAGTATTACTATGTCTATACATAGTGTATAGTGTATAGTGTTAATATCTCTATAACATGTATACGTCATGTATAACTATACGTCACGTGTACCATGTATACGTCATGCCCCTCCTGGCCACTACTATTACCACCACTATATCAATATGCAATAACTTCGATACAGCTGACCATTAACGGATCATCAATGTTACAGCTGATATAATATAATAATGCCTTCGGCTCTTCGGGCTCCGCTTGATAATTCCCGACAGCTTGCTGGAGGGAATTTGCGGCCCGAAGAACCGGAGGTATTATGTATTATAATACCTTCCGGGAATTATATCCACTAAAAGTCTCGGACACTGAGAGCTGATAATTTGCCGATATATCCCGCAAGGGAAGCCAAGGTATTATCAGCATAGACCTCAGACTGGCTGGCGGCAAGTTGTAAAACAAATAACACTGGCGTTCTATATATTAGACACTATATTGTATCATGCGCACGTATCGGATTACACCCCTTCCAATTCGGAACCGGAAAATATTATAATTAATAACACTACCAATTCATGAATACAAACCACACTTACCGCGGGCACCGCCTTCTTTCTAATTGTTCGCCAAATCTTCGATAGAATATTCGGCGAAGAGGGCTGAAATAACCAGGTAAACTTTAAACGAAAAGCCGCACAGATCTATGGATTCAGTCTAGATCAAAAGTGGAGTATAATAGATGCCTGGAAGTTAGGAAGTATAAACCGTAATATGATTAACTGATCTCAGCAGTATCGTGAGTGGGCTGCAGCTGGCCTGCTGGTGGTGGAACTATCTTCAAGTGTGCGGCTTGTCTCTTTTAACTCTTAGACTTGTAGACTCTGCATCACCGGGTTTTCTATGGGCATTTTGATTGTTGTCATAACAAGCACAGCTATAGTTTTGTTTAAAATATAATATGTTCTATTATATTATAGAGTATAATAGTGGATCGGCTTTGTATGAGGGCAGGTTTTGTTTACAATTGCAATTGAGGTATGACTAACAGGTTTTGATATAATACTTCTTATACTTCTACTACTTCTTGTTATAGCCTAGGCTTTGTTAAACTTAGAGCTTGTCGATGAGCGGCTTTGTCATTTGTTTAAGATTGAGCCAATGAGCCTGTGGACTAAATTGTTTACACTTAGGGGTCGTTCACATATTACGTAATTAATATTTTAGCAATTTTAATCAACCGTAATCAAAACTCAACCCCCCTCCTGACAGCAAAATTACATAATCATGGCCTGACCCCCCCCCCCCCCCCCCCCCCGTTTTTGAATTTTTTCCCTGGAAAACACTTTTCTCTACGTTTCATGCTACCCTGATCATTATGAGCCGAAATCATTGTTATGATATCCGGCCAAGCACCTTCCCAACTACTTACTTTAGCAGCCGGATACCCGATCGATTCCTAAATTTTACTACTATATCAGTGTGAAATTGCGTGGAATTTGAATTAAAATATTGTCAAATTGTTATTATTCTAGAGGGTAAAAAAGAAAATTTTGATTACGTAATCAACGACCAAAACACCCCCCCCCCCCCCCCCCCCCCCGTAATCAACCGTAAGCATTTGGAAACCCCCCCTCCCCCCTCGGCTGATTACGTAATATGTGAACGACCCCTATTTTGTAAAAATTACACTAGCGTAATCAGTTGGGATTTGGGAACCCCCCCCCCCCCTCCTCAGCTGAAATTACGTAATATGTGAACGACTCCTTAATACAAGTTTAGAGAGAACGGGCTTGTTTTAAAGACTGTGAGATCCGGATTGCGGATAGCATACTAGGTTTAATTATTGATCTTAAGCTGAAATAAAGTTAACTATGTGATCTATTTAATCTATATCATATCTGTATATAGTATAGGAGTTAAACTTAAAGTCGCCACATCATATCGCATACTATAAATAAACCAGTATAAGTATCAAGTTTATACATTATACATAATACACAGTTTAAACAGTTAAGCCTGCCGGTTTTTAAAAGGCTCACGTTTAATGTACGATCGAAATTGAAAACTTATTGGCTTAGGCTGAAGATATTGTGGCTACATTCCCATTCCTTTTAGTTTTAAAGCTCCTCCACAACAGCAGTACAAGTACAAGTTAAAATACCTGTGAATGAGCGCGTGATTCCAGAGACTGTACAGCTCAGCGATCATGGGAGTCGTATTCTTATCCGGTTAATATAGCTGTTACATTATACCGGACCAGTAGTAGTACCACCTACTTTTAGTAATAGTATTAGTATAATGTCTATTGAAAACCTCCCCTGGTCCAACTCCAAGTTTTGTTGACCCACTGAGATTTTTGTTAAAATCTCAGTGGGTCAAGCTAGTGATCAATATGATTGAGTTTGACCACAATGCAGCTCGACGAGCAGTTAGTCCTCTCATCTGCAGCTCCATGTCTGTGGTTAATCATATAGTCGCATATTGATTTGATCTGTATGTTGTGTCCGCTCAGCCGCCGGTCGGTTATAACAGTTAAGTTAAACGTCTATTTTATAAATATGACACTTAGCATTTAACATTTTGATTTAATTAATTTCTACATTAAATATTAATTAATTTCTACATTAATTTTAAATATTAATGCTTTTGCTATGTGGTGGACGGTTTCTCGTCTCAATTCCTAATCATGATGTTAATATCCCCAAACTCCTCGTGATCATGCCACCTATTTTGTGATGATGACTGCTTTTATTCTTAAAGTTAAACTTAGGCTTGAATATAATTAGGACGCCTCAGAGTCCTGAGCGAGATCCACGAAGGCTATTCAATAATTTGTTGATTATAGCTAGCTCTGTTAAACCGCCAAAGCTGATTTGACCGTAGCTGTGCTGTACAGTTTACGTCATGGCGGCCCTTGTCGTCATTTTGTCTTTATAGTTTACTGTTTAACACGCTGGTAATAATGGAAGTTCTCGCAGTCACAGTCGCAATTTGATGTTGGCTACGTTTGCTCTTTGAGTTTTACGATACATTTGTTTCATGTCGTCGAGGTCTTGTGCTTTTGTACAGAAAAACGACTAGTATTATTAATGAATTGCGATTAAAAGTTTTAGCTTAATTACATTTTCATCGCACAGGGCTTATATGATGGCACCAGATACATCATGTTGTGAAGAAAGTGAGAGCCTGAAAATATCAGGGAACATCACTAGATTGTTATTGGATTTGAGGTTAGAGAAGAAAGTCTACTCTTCAGTTTGTGTATGAATTCGATTTGCAATTAAAATTCTCGTTTATTTAAATGGTGAGATTTGGCCTTAATAAAATTAATGTCACGAATGATGTTTTGTTTCTAAGTAAAAACTGAGAACTGAAATAACATCATCTCAGCGAGGGTCTAAAATACACACTCCCGGATATTACAACAGAACCGGACCTCTCTCCCTGGGTGAAAGAAGAAGAAGAGAAGGAGTCCCCGGAGTTACCTCCCAGTAGGAAGAAACGAATACGAAGGAAGAAACCAATCTCTTCGACAAGCAGTGGTGGGTTCTTCTTTAGAGATGAGACTATTGAGGAGACGGAGAGTGAGAGCCGGTGTTACCCGACTAGTTACATGAACAGATACATCTCCCACAAGATCAGGTTACTATTCTCAGTTACATTTACAATTTAGTTATTTCTGTTATCAGTGATATGAACATGGAGCACAAACAATATATTGGTTCATGTTGGGTTTAAGCTAAAATTCAAGTTGCTTAAATGGCCGAGTTGTTATCATTATTAAACATGTTCTATTTCAGGCCAGTACACGAGAAACCAGGTAAGATCCCTCCGCTCCAACACTCTTACAGACTCTCTCTGAGCAAAGAGCTGACTCAACGTCCCCCACAGCCCCAGCAGTCAGGAGATAAGACCATAATGACCACCCAGGCTCCCACTCTGCTGGACAAGAGCAGCCTGGCCTGGTCTGGAAACATCGAGCAGCTCCCCCGGCTGAAAGAGAAAAAGGTGGACTCCGAGAACCAGGAGCCAACACCTGGGATACCGGGCAGTAATCAAGAGGTCGTGTTGCTGTGGAATCCGAGCAAAGAATACTACACAAACCACAACCCACGTGATATATCACCCACCAATAAGAGCCCAGAGTTACAACGTGACCACGAACTATACGGAAAGCTGTTACCATGTGTACGAAACTGTAGGGTCACCTGGAACCGACAATCCCAAATCCGAACCCCAAACCTAGAAACCGCCTCCTTACCCTCCAGGGAAGCACAGGGCTCACCGCTAGCATATTCCCAACGAGCTGACTTTATGGCCCGGTCCTCCAGCGCCAGCTCCCACAACTCAGCTGTTATCCGGACCGAGTTTAAGGGTAAACTCCAGAACTATCTGCACAGGAGTTCGGACAGCTGTTTTAAGAAGCTGCCTTGTGGTCTGGTGTACGGGAAGAGTTTGAAGGGGTGCAGGTATAGGAGGACCGGTAGGAATGCTAGTGTGGAGTTGTGTGTCAGACCCGTTTAGATGGTTAGGGGTCGTTCACATATTAGTACGTAATCACTGAGAGGGAGGGAGAGGGTTTCTAAATGATTACGCTAGTGTGATTTTAACACAATAGCTATATTGTGTAAAACTGTTTACGGAGGGTGGGGCCGGGGGATGTAAAATGGGCCAAAAAGTGATTATGTAATATGTGAACGACCCCTTAGGTGACAGATTAGATTATTGGGTAGTACGATTTAGGAATTAAAGCTTTTGAAGTGATTGTATTGTTTTTTTGAGGTAGTGGGCAACATCTTTTGAAAGGTTTTAAGGTCGTAAGTTTATTAAATAATCATAGAACGTAATTTTTTTTTGTTATCGAAAATATTAGCTTGATTAAATTATTTGAGGTTATGAGCTTTCGAAGTGCATTTTCGTAATTCCTTTGAAGAACTGTGCTTATAGCTGGACTAATGTTGACGATAACTTTGAAGCATATTAATGAAATAAATAAGCATATTACATTTTTACACTGTGCCATAACATATATTGTAATCAGCTGAAAATCTAGAGTCAAAATTAAAAATCACTAATTAAAGTAACGTGAAATATCACTAGATACTTGCATCAAGCAAGATTATAATGGCTTAATGGTGGTTGTCGATTGTGATCTTCCGTGCGAAACAGCAAAAAACATACGAATGAAGCTTTCAAAAACAAAGATTGTAATAATTGCATATCATAATTATAAATATAAACTACATAAATAATCAACATGAATTAATGATAAATACTCTTAAATATGTTTACATAAACTTGAACATGATTTGCCTAGTCCACAGATGCAATGGAACTGTTCAAGTTAGACTGGAAGATGATCTTAGTAAAGTTGGTGTAATCCAGAGCTCCAGGAACATCTGGATACTTCTCCATCCGATCTATACAGTACTTAGCCTGAAACATTCATTCTATTAGTGGGTTCATTAATTAATTATATTCGTTGTAAGTGATAATATGGTTTGTACAAATGAAATCATAACGAGGGACTTGGAATGTTGATTATTATGTGTGAATATCTTTCATATTGAACCTGAACGAGGGAGACCTTATCCGCCCTAATCTAACCGGAAGACCGATTTATTTCCCTAACTCATTGTTTTATTATAATCCTACTTAAGGGCGCTAAGAGCTGACATATCCTTCAAAATAACTCACCTGATCAGGAGGCATTGCGGCGTAGAGCTCGGAAGCAGTGATGTACGGCTTGTTACCTTCCTCCGTCAGAGACTTGAACGCTTCTGTTAACTCGTCCGTACTTGCCACATTCTCCGTTGTTCTCGAAATCATGAACTAGGCAGGAGGTTGGTGAGATCTTGGGAAATGTTTTGCTGATATTTGTTAGATACAGCACAATATTAGAGTTTTATAATTTATTCTGGCTGCGTATGGTTTTCAGCACGTACGATCTGCAGAACAAATTTAAGATCTTGTGGGATCGATCATCCGACTGATAGACTGACTGTCTCCGGGCAGTACTTTCAACGTCAATAATAAATAACTTGTGGTCACTTCTAACCTGCATGTATTCTTCCAGGCGCACAAAACCGTCTCTGTCGAAGTCAACACAGTCCAGTATAGCCTCAAACACTGTATCCGGCTGATCCTCTTGCGGAACCGGCAGATCGAATCCTAGAGCTCGAAGACAAGCTTTAAATTCATTGTGGTCCAGTCGGCCTGATCTGAGGATACGTTTCAATTAGTCCAGTTTCCAGTAACAAGCAAGAAGTTCATGTATAATTAATATTATGTGCTTTTCTCTCAATATTTTTGGCTAACAGGACAGAGGACTCTGGATGAAATATGAAATCTTTTCAAAATGATCATTTGGTAAATATGACCAGATAACAATCCAAAATAATCTGCCTAAACACCGCAGACAACTAAGTGAAATTAGTAATAATTAGTTAACAATTAATAATTATAATTAGTTATATCACAAACCTGTCTTTGTCGAAGTGTTTGAACATGAGAGTGAACTCCTTGAGCTCGTCCTCGTCCACCCCAGTCCTGTTCTGCGCCTCTATCTGACCCGTAACCGTGTGGTGCATTCTCCGGGTGAACTCATTCAGCTGGTCCCACTGTTGTGCTAGGGTGACCGTTCTGTGGGTGGTGTACTTGTTGTCGAATATCATCCCTTTCTCCAGATGCGCTGACAAGTCCTGAGGGGACATTCGTGTTTAATGTGTGTCAATATTGTCCGGTTTCAAACTGTTATTTAATTTAAAATTACCTGCACTTTTAAACTTACGTAAAATTATTGTCTGAAAACTTTATGATTAAAAAAGCATCAGATATTATTTAAAACCTCGATTTCACGGAGAACTGCTCTCTTCTTTTTGATTTCCTCGTGTTTACTCTCGATCAGGTCTCGCTGGTCCTCTAGTCTGTACCGGTTGTTCGTTAACTTCAGTTTTGTGGTCTCCAGCCACTCTGCGAACTTGTTTGCTGAAAAAGATGTTGGTACAGTGACAGTCACTGAGGTACGACCTCCATAAGAGTCAAAGTAATGGCAAGTCATCAGGTTACCAGGTTACCAGGTTACCTTGAGCAGCGTATGCCTTCCTCAACTCCTCCCTTTGCTCCTGACGAAGTGTCTCCTTCTCGATCATGAGGTCCCGTTCTTTAACAGCTCGAAGGAGAGACTGCCAACTGTCCTCCAACGAGTCCATGGTGAACCAAGTGTACGGGTTAACTGTCACGTGGTGAGATCTGCAGGACAAAGTTTTAAGTCTAACTTTTGTTCTTTAAAATTTTTTTTTAAAAAGAGAGGCTGGGCCAAGATAGCCCACGGGCCACGAGAGGATAGCATTGAGATGCTCTGCCTACCTCTGGGGTGTGGCAACCCTGGGGAAGGTTGCCGGAGAAATCAGAGTGAATGGTGGAGGATGGTGTTAAAAATGACATGAGTCAAAATGATACGCTTAAGTGCATAAGTCTAACTTAGGGACTAGTATGTTCACTAGGCTGTATCAAAAAACACAAACATGGTCCAATAATTGATGCACCTTCAAAAAAGTTGCATTAGGTCGATGTGAGTTTGGAAAAAAAAATTTAGAGTTCAACTCCAACCTTATACGGTGGTATTTTTCGTTTCCATGGTAACCATTCTGTCGCGGTCGCGTTTACAGAATTAAATTCATATCTGGAGAACCATACCACTTAGAGAACTGTGTTATAGCTTAAAAGAACCGGAATAGCCAAGTTTATATTCAACTTATCAATCAACTATATGCCTAGAACCTTTATTTTTTGAGTTAAAGGCAAAAAGGTGGTTTTGACTGCGTTGCTATGGTGATTGCGCGGTTGTCATGGTGATTTTATGGTTGTTATGACTTACAAAAAGACTTCGACTATTACCCACAATCTTTCACTGGCATATCTAGCGAGTTAACACATGCCAGGTCTGTATAAAGCGAAAAAGGAAGGCAAACTATACAGCATGAGTCTGTTGTCAAGACAACGATTGGAGCAGCACTAGAAAAGCTTGTTGCTTTGGTTGTACAGTTTTGTTGTTGCGTGTGATATTTTGTTTGCGTATACGAGCTGTCATCCTGTTTAATTCAAAGTAGGATAACTTTGGCTGTGGCTACAGTTTTCCCATGCAATAAAAAGCATTATTTTGCTGACATTGCCTTGGTGGTTTGTAGAGAACGTAAATTAAATGTACCGTTTTAATAATTTTTCACGGATAATTTAATATATTAACTCAATTTTATCTTATGTAGCAAAATGATACCGTTCCCCAAACGTTTGGAAAGTCTCTTTCTTTGTAGCTTGCCTATAGAGCCTGTACCAGGTCCGTTTGTCTGCTCGAAGCCCCCCACAAATGAAGAGGTGTTCATAAAGTTTAGAAGCATGGTGGGTCTTAACATATTTATTCGATGAATTTTAAATTTCAATTTTAGAAATCTTTTTTGTGGACATTTTAAATATAAATCGCATAGTTTGTAACGGTCTTTTTTCCAGCATCTGGTTGCCCAGACAAACAATCACGGAGTGGTGACCAAGACGTCTGTGGCTGATGATGTGGCTCGTTTAGTTACAGACTGGTGGCTGAAAACAAACATCATGTCCAAGACTCCCTACCGTATCCGCGAAATGGTTTTAGAGATGAATTCAAGGTGGACTATTTTGATGAAGCAGCGAAAGAAAGGCACTGAAAGTTATGTGAAGAAAAGATCAGATTTCCAGGATTTTTTGAAGAAAACATTCTGGGCCGTCAGTCCAGCCCATGAGGCAAAGTTAGAGGCTTCGACAGATCCAAAGATGATCGAAGACAGGGAGTGCCTGAAGAGAGAGTTGCAGTGCTTTTGGTAGGAGCTACAACTGAGATACTTCTTGGTGTTCCCAAGATAGCAAATGTATGAATTCACAGTCACATTCACGTTTACATTCGCATTTACATTCACATTCACGTTCACATTCACATTCACATTCACATTCACATTCACATTCACATTCACATTCACATTCACATTCACATTCACATTCACATTCACATTCACATTCACATTCACATTAACATTCACATTCACAGGGATCATCTGATGCAGTGCTACAAGAGGTCATCAGCATGCTAAAGGACAGAGGGATTAACACGTCCTTAATAAATGGTCTTGTTTTCGACACGACAAGCGTAAATTCAGGAATACACAAGGGTGTGGCCGTTCGGCTGGAGGAGCACCTCAACAGATCTCTGCTACAATTTGCCTGTCGGCATCATGTTTCAGAGATCTGGGGAGGTGCTGCCTGCTCAGTGGTGTATGGTGACACCACATCTCCAGATGAGAGCTGCTACAAGGCTTTCTGCAGTGTATGGGAATGCATCAATACCTGCGACTATTCCCTGCCGAACATTTCTGGGAGGTTCTTGAAGGGACTGCAGGCTTCCACCATATCATTCCTTGCGGATTTTTTGAAGGACGAAGATTCGTGCTGCACTCTGCGGCACGATTATCGTGAACTCGCAGAATTAGCCCTGCTTCTGCTTGGGGGAACACTACCTGACGGAATTAAGTTCAGGGCACCTGGTGCCACCCACCATGCCAGGTGGATGGCAGGCATGATTTATACTATGAAGATAACCCTATTTCGAAAACAGTTAACCGATATATTCGAAGAATACTGCCTCGACTTGATGGAAGAACTGGGGGTGTACACTGTACCTCGCACTTTTTTACGTGCAGTACTGGCTGTGCTGCACAAGTGCTGCTGATGCTCCAGCACAGGACCTAGCTCTTATGACACTGTTCGAAACAGCACTGGCTAGTAATGTTACTAGCACGTTCAAAGAGCTGGTTGAAGCCAGTAAGAAGAAGATGTCAGCTGGGCACCTGTGGTATTTGAGCGAAAGACTGGTGCCTCTCGCGTTTTTCTCGAGTCATCTGAGTGATACAGAGAAACGTGGGATGGCCCAGCAAACTCTTCGTCACAGGTCTCAGCCCAGGATGAAGCAGCAGCAACAGCCCCTCACTGACCGGTTTAACAAACGGAAACTGAAGGAGTTTGTGGGTCCTGATTCATTCACATTCTTTGAACTATACGGAGTGGAGCCAACTTTTCTCTGTGAACCAGTCAGCAGTTGGGAGACAAACACTAACTTTAGGACACTCAAGGCAATGGTTCTAGCCACTACTGTTGTCAACGACTGTGCTGAACGGGCTCTTGGTGTTCTCACTGAGTTCAACACCGGGAGTGTCACTAAGGACGAGACACAGCGACAAGCTCTTCTCCAGGTGGTTCAGCACATGCGTAGGCAGCAGAAAGCTGCTGCCACTAGTACAGAGAGGTGTACAAAAGCCACAATAAGTAAATTAAATTACAACATTGTATTGTAATTATTCTCATTTTTTGTTTGTGTTTGACTAAAGTATATCTATTTATTATATTATATTGCCTTTTTGTTACAACATTGTTTATTGCTTCCTTTTATGTATAAAATAATGGAATAAAATACAAAAATTCAACGCAATCACCATAGCAACGCAGTCAAAACCACCTTTTTGCCTTTAAGTCAAAAAATAAAGGTTCTAGGCATATAGTTGATTGATAAGTTGAATATAAACTTGGCTATTCCGGTTCTTTTAAGCTATAACACAGTTCTCTAAGTGGTATGGTTCTCCAGATATGAATTTAATTCAGTAAACGCGACCGCGACAGAGTGGTTACCATGGAAACGAAAAATACCACCGTATAAGGTTGGAGTTGAACTCTAAATTTTTTTTTCCAAACTCACAATGACCTAATGCAACTTTTTTGAAGGTGCATCAATTATTGGATCATGTTTGTGTTTTTTGATACAGCCTAATGTTCACAAGACTTTTTAAAACTCATTCGTTGTCTGGTTATTGATCTTCTAACTCGAAGGACAACCAAAAGGACAAAAACTATAGATCTACGTTTGACTCTAAGATCGATATTAAGTCACCCGAATTTATTATAGCTGTTTAAATTTATACAGGTATTGAAAACAATTAATAAGGGGTAAATATTACATAATGATAGTAGATTAGTAGATTAGTAGAGCCAATTTCTAAAAATAAACTCCAACCTAATAGTACGGTCGATCTCAGTGAGGTTTCTAAACTCCTCCCGCTTCTCGTGAGATAGTGCTTCAACGAAGGCAGTGTGTTCCACTCTTAACTTCTTACACTCGTCCATGTTGCTTGTGTAAATCAGGTCTGTTAGATCCTCCTCTGCGTTCTCATACCAACCATTGAACTGGCTTGCTTTCTCAGCAAACGTCTGCGGAGTTAAAGGGTTAGGAAGTGGTTGAGAAAGTGTATTTGGAATTTGTAAGTTTACAACTGGATTCTAACTTTAGGGCCCGAACACACTGTGTCATTTGTCACGTGTGTTGTCACGTGTTCTGGATTCTACCTTACAATCTGTGAGGAGTTACCTGGAATATCCCTTCAATCTCCTTGAAGTGAGCCAGAGCAGTGTTCAGTCGCTTTCTCCGAGCCTCACTCTCTGCAAAGAGGGCATTCCACCGCTTCAACACGTCAGCATGACGCTGTTTCAGTGCTTTAGTTTGAGCATGTTGTGATGCAATTAGCCGGTCCTTGAGGGAGGTGAGGGAGTCTATATTGTCTTTGAAGGAGTTGAGAGAAGTTGTGTAGTTGTTGTGTCGTGATATGAGCACTTCACACGAGGTCAAGTCAGACCCTACATCCTCGGTTAGAACATGTCGTTCTTTCTGTGTTATAAACACTTCTATCGCCTCAGCCTGGAAAATTATGATTAGCTGATTCGCATTTGAAATTATAGCGCTCCCATTGTATATTACACAGTTGCGACCCTCTGTGCTTTCAAGTGGAAATATATTGCATGCAAACCAAAGAATTGGTTAGAGGATCATACCTTCCAGTTAAAGTTAAGATGGGCATTACCTTCCAGTTAAAGTTAAGATGGGCATTACCTTCCAGTTAAAGTTAAGATGGGCAGCCTCGTCAGTAAGGCAGGCCTTGTGAGCAGCACAAATGTTGTATAACACTCCGACACTATCTTTCAGTTCCTGCATGTGTTCGTCTACCTGCAGGTAATAGGGTTAGTAGCGGACAAGGATACAAACTGTACCTGCAGGTAATAGGGTTAGTAGCGGGCAAGGATACAAACTGTACCTGCAGGTAATAGGGTTAGTAGCGGGCAAGGATACAAACTGTACCTGCAGGTAATAGGGTTAGTAGCGGGCAAGGATACAAACTGTACCTGCAGGTAATAGGGTTAGTAGCGGACAAGGATACAAACTGTACCTGCAGGTAATAGGGTTAGTAGCGGGCAAGGATACAAACTGTATCTGCAGGTAATATGGTTAGTAGCGGGCAAGGATACAAACTGTACCTGCAGGTAATAGGGTTAGTAGCGGACAAGGATACAAACTGTACCTGCAGGTAATAGGGTTAGTAGCGGACAAGGATACAAACTGTACCTGCAGGTAATAGGGTTAGTAGCGGACAAGGATACAAACTGTACCTGCAGGTAATAGGGTTAGTAGCGGACAAGGATACAAACTGTACCTGCAGGTAATAGGGTTAGTAGCGGACAAGGATACAAACTGTACCTGCAGGTAATAGGGTTAGTAGCGGACAAGGATACAAACTGTCCGCTACTAATAGGGTTAGTAGCGGACAAGGATACAAACTGTACCTGCAGGTAATAGGGTTAGTAGCGGGCAAGGATACAAACTGTACCTGCAGGTAATAGGGTTAGTAGCGGACAAGGATACAAACTGTACCTGCAGGTAATAGGGTTAGTAGCGGACAAGGATACAAACTGTACCTGCAGGTAATAGGGTTAGTAGCGGACAAGGATACAAACTGTACCTGCAGGTAATAGGGTTAGTAGCGGACAAGGATACAAACTGTACCTGCAGGTAATAGGGTTAGTAGCGGACAAGGATACAAACTGTCCGCTACTAATAGGGTTAGTAGCGGACAAGGATACAAACTGTACCTGCAGGTAATAGGGTTAGTAGCGGGCAAGGATACAAACTGTACCTGCAGGTAATAGGGTTAGTAGCGGACAAGGATACAAACTGTACCTGCAGGTAATAGGGTTAGTAGCGGACAAGGATACAAACTGTACCTGCAGGTAATAGGGTTAGTAGCGGACAAGGATACAAACTGTACCTGCAGGTAATAGGGTTAGTAGCGGACAAGGATACAAACTGTCCGCTACTAATAGGGTTAGTAGCGGACAAGGATACAAACTGTACCTGCAGGTAATAGGGTTAGTAGCGGGCAAGGATACAAACTGTGCTCGAAATTGTTGAGAGGAAGATGATAAATATAAATAATGAAACCTCGAATAAATAATAATTTCGAAGGTTTGAGATTTCAAAGTTTAAGTTCGTTTACCTCGATAGAGTGTGTAGTTCTGGACTCATTGATAGCATTGCCAGCTGCCATTATGACAGTGTCAATGTGTTGGTTGTGTGTCTCTAACTCTCGCTCTAACAGATCATACCTGTACATTGGGAACACTGTTAGAAACTCACAAGTTAAATACAATGTTCACCATTCACAATGTTTTAGTGACTATATATTATTAATTAAATGACTTTTATTAGTCGAAAAAAAAACCCCAGATAATTAAAAACTTGCGCCCCAGAACTAAATACTCACTTCTTGAGGAGTCTGTTAACAGCAGGCAGATTGTCCCTGGTACCGTCCAGGTTCAGAGATTTAATCTTCTCATTGACCCAGGCCTTCTCCTCGCCAACGTCTAGGAGCCAGGAGAAGAAAGCTCTGGTTTGGTCAACTTTGTCGTGTTTCTCTTCACAGTCCCGCTTTAGCCCCTCCCACCTTTAAAATAGTTGCATCATAGAGGACATTTTGTTAATTTATAAAACTTGAAGGTTATCGTATCTTACTCGGATTTCATCTGCCAGTAGTATTGATTTCTATAATGAGTTAAGTATGCATAGCCTCGTCTCACTTTGAGTTGTATACTAGCCAACACCCAACATATCTCTCAAGTTCAGATTAAAGTAAAGGTGTAGTAAAGGTGTAGTAAATCATGCTCTACACCTTACACGCCTCCACACAAATGACTTACTTTGCAAGAAGACTATCCATAAGCGTGGCCATCTCTTTAACCAAGGTAATATCATCATTACCGTGCCTACACTTCTCGCACATTATACTAGTTTGTTGAATGGAATCTTCGTACATTATTATCTGAAATATTTTAAATTTGATGATTGAAATAAAATAAATGGGTGACGTTTTATAAATTTACCAGCAATAAAATGATACGAAAATCTCAATATAAATAGCAAACGAATAAAAGCAATCAGATATAATATCGACAATAGGAATAAAAAAAGACCTACTGACCTCAGCCTCCAATCTAGCTAGTTTCTTCTTGAGAGTATCAGTAGCGACAAGATCACGAGGTGCTGTGGCCAAGTGCAGGAACCGCAATCTGTCATCCACCCAAACCTCTCTCTCATTTATCTCTCTTATAACTGTGTTTATCTGAGAGATGTTGTTGTAGAACATGTTGTCACATTATTCTACTGAGCGGGTTCTCCCGTGATAGTGAAAATCTCGATCATTCGCATATTAGTTATTAGATAATTTTGAGTTAATACCTGTTGGCAATATTGTAGATGTTCATGTCTCCGATCTTGTAAAACTTTGACATCTTCGTAACGTGAGTTGATTTGGTTCTGCGAAATAAAAGGGTATCATTTGACATTACACTCTAGTCATCGAATTTGTGACACAACGTGATCCACTGACTATTTGACTAGAATATATTTCACTATTCCCAAGAGGCAAGATTCAGACAGGCTGTAAATTTGGGACGAAGCCAATTCGGCTCAAAATTGGCCGAATCAAATTAAACGCGCACACGCGCGCGTATTCATATCACGTCAAATAAAACATACAGATAAAATGTCACTGCGCCTTCCATACATGATCCATTAAACTATCAAATTTGCGCGCCAAAACAATTATGTGTCGCCTGAATTGTTTGTATTGTTAATCTCTTCGCCGATTGGTTCGGACAATTCTCCCTTAATTTTGATCCAACTATTTAAGTAGCTAATTGCCTATTAATCAGCCACTGACAACGAAATTGTTAACCAAAAGTCGTTTCCTTAGGACTGGAAAACATTTACTGCACCAAGGAGTCTAGGAATATATTTTGAGCGGCCAGGCACAGTTAAGTAAGTAAGCATGTAATTGATTTCACAAAATGCTATATTTAGGCGAAAACAAGTTCGATCAGTCATTAGAAATGTGCATATAGTTTGCATGCAAGTTCAATCAGATCATACTCACAGCAAATGTTTAATATCACACATCACACGCTACTCACACACTTTATCTACTAAAACTCTGAAGTTTATAAATATTACAACATTCTTCAATCTTTATTATTTAGGCTTTGTTTGAGGTCCCGAAGGTCTGTATTTCGGAAAAGGAAGCAATTTTGTTTTACAAAGTGGTGTACGACCATGTTTTCATAACGTCATACCGTTCATACCTGTTTGTGACCAATATGTTCACTATCATAATGTTCATTAGACAACATCTCCTCTGCCATCACGTTTATATCAAGAGCATGTCGCTCATGTGACTGTATATCATGTCCTAACATCTGATTAAATGTTTAGTTTTAGAATAGTTCTAACTGAAAGTAGCGACAATGATAAGTTGAATCACAAATGTTTGGGAATATTTGTACCACGCTGAGCTGCATTTAAAATGAAACTGAGAATCTTGAAAGGTTGTGATCTAAAAATACCTGGTTTTTCTTGATCAAGTTCTGCAAGTTTGCCATGTCTTTAAGGTTGATCTCAATGTTGAGTTGAGTCTCAATCATGCTCAGCCACATAGCCTGAAAGTGATTTAAGTGTAGATTGTAGCTCAGATTAATGATCTGTTGACTCTGTGCAGGACTCAGGAGCAGTACTAATACACGCTTACAGTTAGTACACAGTGTTAAATGATGACCTCTTACAATAAATAGATCAAATATTATATTACTAATGTTAGGCGTTCCGATTTTCACTGTTCATCGATTTGGCTATCTCTATTATATTAGAGAGCAGCGCAACTGTATATTGCACTGTTCTATATCTTTATGCGCAATCTTACAATATAATATATACATCAAATGTTACTAATGTTAGTCATGTTATGACTGTCAGTGATCAATAACATATATAAAATATATACACAAATAAAATTTTAAACTTTGTTTGAATGAGCCTCAGTTTACACATATAAACTGTAGTCATATTACAAGTAACGCCACATTCTATGTAAATATCGAGCCATCCAAAAATAATGGAACATGTGCATTCCTTCCTTCCGGTTCTATCTGTTGACATCTGATAGCCTATAATTTGGTGAGTACGTACTTAAATATGTGAACTTCAGGAATGTTTCAAATATTTGAATATCAGGAATTAGGATAAGTTTCACATACCATGTCTTGACAGATACAGTTGAACTGATGTAGAGTCCGCACGTCTTTCAGCACACATAACTTCCTCTCAGTTTGCATTGCAAGCTCGTCCCACTTGTCACCAATCTCGTTCACTTTAACCATCACCTGTTACAAAACTGTGCTCAAAATGACATTCAATCATGAAACAAAAAGACACTTCAGGATCCTGAAGGAGGGCTGCCAAAATATCTAAATTGGAAATTCCAATTCCTCACATCAAATTTATTATGATACCCAAAAATCACACCAATATCAAAGACATTAACAACCAAGTAATTAACAATTTAGACGGCACTAACCAGTTCGTCTCTAGTTCCACACCTCTCCTCCTGCAACAGTCTGTTCCCCTCCCCCACCACAGCCTGCACTCTCTCCTGAGATGCTCCTATCTCTGTCTCAAACGTCTGGTGGTCCTGAATCTCAGCCTGAGAGGGTTCCTATAACATCATAGTACACAACCAGTAACCACAACCACATTATAGTACACAACTACAACAATCCTTCACTGAGTACTGAGTAGTATAATATACCTTCTGCAAAGTTGGAAGTCTCAGACATTAAAGATGGTTGTGTTATATTATAAGCCAAACATATTTATCTAGTGTATGTATCTAGTATACTGTATACTGACTTTTGTCCCCCCCCCCCCCCTGTATATATATTTCAATGTTCCCAACTGAACGCTACGTATTTAAGATCATCATAAAACTTATAAAACTGGTCAACTGTACTTGTTAACACTTTACCAGGTTAGTTTCCCAGCTCGGTTGGTTTAACATTACCTGTAAGTTTCCCAGCTCGGTTGGTTTAACATTACACTGTTCCAACCTTTCGTTTATCCACAGTATAACCTCATCTGAATCACTCAGGAAGTTGTCAACTGATATCTTATCTTGTAGATCCTTCTTCTTCTCCTCCTGTAGTTTCTTCAGACCGGCGAACTTGCTGCTCATTCCATCAGTTTGTAGTAGATCTGCTTGAGAAGAGGATATCCGCTCTTTCACTGCCTGGAGATTTGTTGGTGTTAAATATAATTAAAAATGGCATAATATTATGATATCCGGTATTTTAGTCCATACCATAATTTTCTTGAAACTTCTACTCTATCTTATAGTTGACAATGCGTTCATCAAAAAAAGGCAATTTTAAGTGTTAAAATATCCGACATTGAACAAGTACAAGTCTATCATTCCATTCTTTTGTCAATACAGATTTAAAACGCTAACTAAAAGACGTGTAGAAATAACAATAACAACTTCAAAAACGTGTTAAACAAACTAAAATACCTGAACTAACTAAAATACCTGAACTAACTAAAATACCTGAACTCTGGAGATCCTCTCCTCCTCCACCCCTAGCAGCTGATCTAACTTCTTACAGTCCGCAACAGTCATCTCGTCCATGTTGGCGGCCATATTCTCCATCCGCACCTGGATTGAACACCATTACTATTAGTTGGTAATAGGATGGTGGACTGGTCTATTTGTGTGATATTCTAGTGGGATTATTGTGAAACATCTGACACCACCAATAACGCGACGCAGATTTGTACAATTTCTTTTTTGCAACAACATCCTACTTATTAAAATAAGTCACTATTAGCTACACTAACCTCAATGAAATTCTCGTCAAGATCGCACGCTTTTATCTCGAGCGCGTTCTGCAGATCGTCTTCTCTCTTCTTCCATATCATCTCTACATGCTCTAACTTCTCCTCTAGGAAACCTACATCCTCGTCCACCTGCAATATTGTTAGTAAAGAATCAGAGATAAACAATCGACCACACAGATCTAGAGGAATTCATCTAACATTCCATCAAAAAGCTGCACGATTTAACTCTTTTGCTAAATAATTTCATCTTTAAAATGTGTTATTAATGTAACCAGAACTTACGTCCTCTTGTTCGCAGATCTCCACTTTGACCAGATGTCTGCCTTGTTCTTTGAACCTCCCTATGTCTTCTTTTTCCTCCTCTATACCCTCATAGTACTCCTGTTATTACACATCAATATCATCATATTATTACTGCTATATTATACTGAATTTTATTTTAATCAATATAATATCAATATAATATCAGTGGAGAACAATCAATTTCCAGGTTAAGCAGATCTTTCATTTCAGATTATTCCAGAATCCAGATTGAAAGAAATAAGAATTCATCGATGTTTTGTTTCTTTGAGAGCCTTCCCCAGTACCCACTATTATTCAGATATGTTTCTAGTTTAAGAAACTAACCCTGTGAGAAGCAATTAGAGCCTCAACACTGCCAACATCTTCCCCCTGATCATCACACGAGGCCTCTATTTCTCCCTTTACCACATCCAGACTATCTTCCAGATCAGCGAACGTCTTCTTAAATTCAGCTAACTCTACACATTTCTTCAGCCAGTCTGAGTGCACTTCGTTCGCTTCCTCCACCTAGTGGAATGTTGTAAAATATTCAGAATATTTGGGATATTTTATAATCTTCGGAGTTTTATCTAGAGTTGAAGTGGTGGTTTAACAGGACTGCAAATCATTAATCTTAGGGCAACCAAATATTTAAAACAAAAAAAAAGTAAAATTCTGAAATCCTTGCTGAAATAAATAAAAAACCTCGCTCCACTGCTCATCAAGATCCTTCAACTTCTCCCGGACTCCATTCTCATTTCCAGGTTGATCTGTAATTAGCGAGTCTCCCAGTTCGTGCAGAGAGTCCACATTCCCGTGGATAGCCTGTAATTCCCGCACCACACCCATGTGGTTCCGCTGCATTGTCTTCACTAGCTCCAGGTCTCCGTTCGTCTCGGCTGAAGTTGAAATTAATTATATATAACCCTGGAATTTGTATAAAACTAAGTACAGTTATTAGCCGGTATCCAACAAAATCTATAAATCATGTTGATAAAACTAAACTTTACACTAACAGTCCCGCTTTACAAAAACTGTTTAGCATTAATAACCAACTATAATAAAATACCAGCTAGAAGAGGCTTCTTCTTCTCCTCTATCCAATCAATACACTCGTCGATATTCTTGAAGAAAGTCAGCAAATTCTTCTTGTCTTCCAGTTGGTTCTTCTTTCTGGCGGCCAGTCTGACCAGGTTATCGTATCGTCTATCTAGGTTATCTACACTGCTTTGTATATCCGCCTAGAGGGAGAGAGACTGGTTAGTCCACCAACAAACCTATAACTAAAACCTATATCATAAACCTATAACAAAAAGAATAGTAAGGTCAGATAAATACAATTCTTCAAAGACCCTTTTCTGTCTCTAGAAATCGAGGATTATCATAACATTATAATACAGTAATAATTCTAATAAATCTAAACATCTTCCAAACCCTCACCTCTTTGCTATGACCATTCTCTATCAAAGTAGCTGCTTTCTCATTAACCGCCGCTAACAAAGGCTCAGTCCCGGTAAGTTCCCGCTCAAAGTCATTATGTTTGTTGAGCTGGTGTAGAAGGAAAGGTAGCTCCTCTGCTATGCTGGTCTGGGTAACGTCTCTCTCTTGTTCTGTAACCCACCCTTCTACTTCTCCAACCTGTGGGGGTTGGATTTACGGAATTTAGTAGTGGAATGTAAAGGAACTGAACTAAGGAGGACCAATGAAGGTATGAGAGTTTACGGACGGTTGATTTGGATCACCTCGACATAACTTTAGCACTAAAACCGAGCTATTCAGCTATAATTATGATAGTATCACAAGCTGAACATAATTATTCTTCAAACAAGTGTGAATACTGTAAATACTCTAAATACCTCTCCCATGAGCACGTGATACTCCACTGTTTCCACCAGTTTCTTCTTCCTGTCCTCCGCCGCAGTACACACCTCATCGTACTTCCTCTTAATCTCCCCCAACTTCTCAGGGACCGCTACTGATGCAGGGATCTACAACCGGACAGGATGTTAATTGGTTAATTGGTTAATACCTTTATACAATTATCTGTTTAGACCAGGTATGTTCTGGAAGGAGGGTTTGTGCTTAGTTACGAAATACCATGTTTATTGCAGGTTGCTAGGTAACGTAAAAGGAGCAGAAGCTACTACTTCAGTAGCCAGGACTATCGCATCTTAAAATAATTTTTGAATATTTTATAATTATACTTGATTAATTGTTATAGATTATATAATCCAGTATAATAAACTCGGTCTATTGTTTTTGATGAAGGTAGCAACTAGCAGCGTACGTTTTATTTACACAAAAATGTTCGGCAACAATTTATCATATTATGAGAAGATGTATTTATATTATGTTATAACATAATATCACAATAAGAAATGCGCGGCTGAGATAAGAGTAAGGAGCTTAAAAGTTAAATAAGCAGCAGCTAAATAAAGTATTTACAGTCACAAATGTTAGCAGAGAAGTGTTTTTGTAAGAAAAAAAAACAAAGATAGAATTCTACCGAACTATTATAATGAACGCAGATTAAATAGCACCATCTACATTATAAGCACCTAATTTTGATAGCCGGCAACATTTTTTTGGGTAACATGTAGCACGATTATAAGTTGCGGTGGGCTTGCCAGTTTTCTTACCTGAGCGTCCAATTCTAATAGACTATTTTCAATATATCTCTGCTGAGAATTATACTACAGTCACATAAGATTACATTCAAATCAATAGGGCAAGGAACATTCGCTCAGAAAACATGCAGTTAAAACAAAAGATCACCACATCAGACATGATAATATCATGATTATCTACTAAAAAAGCCGTGCGACATTAAAATCCGGGAATTTCCGGCTGAAATCTGATTTTACCTCGTCATCCGGAGGGAGGGTTTTCAGGTAGACAGCCGGAACAAATCCAATCCTACCGTTGTGATCTACCTTCCACCAATCCTTGTCTTTAGATTGTAGCAGTATCATCACTGTGCCTTTCTTAACACTTATCTGGGACATTTTAAACATTTTAAACATTTTTAACAAAGTTGGAGTCCAAACTTTAAAATGATAAATTATTTGAGATTATTTTTAAGCATTATTGTAAGTGAAGATGCGATTTTTACAAATTCGTGAATCATCTTTAAAGAGATAAAAAGAAACAATTAATGATTTATAAATCGCTCTGACCTCACGGTTGCTTTTCTCAGCGTAATCGTACAGAGCCTGAACTTTTGGTTTCTTCTTTCCGTTTCCAAGAATGATGTTCCTCTGCTTACATCGGTTACCTTCATCTATCAAGTCTTTTACCTGAGGAATACGCATGAAAAATCTTAAAAATTAAACCTGCATACAACCTTAACTGGGAGTTTCAGATTTCTCCTTTTCCAGTTTTTAAAAAGAAAGAAAAAGTAATCATTTCTATCATTTTAAGGTAACCATTTCTATCAATTCTAGGATCCATAAAAGCTTAAACTAAATAACATTAAAGATAAAATGTATGCGGAGTGACAACACAAATACCTTTGTGGCTCGCCCCTGAAGTTCGATAGTGAGAGCCTGGGTTCTCCTCAACATTCCCTTACTCGTATCCTCGTCTTTACCGTAGTCCTCATTGTTGAAGATTGGGGACATCTCTTTGCACCACGACTGAAATTGTCATGAGATTAATATTTAGTAGGTAATTACTATGAAGAGAAACGAATGATGAGGTTAGGATTTATGATGAAATTTTGGGAGTTTTGATATGCTATATTGGGCTTTGGAATGTATATTGGGCTTTGGAATGTGTAAAAAATCAAACAATAAGATTTTAAAACGTAAAATTCCCGAAATTTGCGCATTTACGAGATTTGTTAGATAGCTTTCACAGACTGTTCATACTCTTCACATTAATATGAAATATAAGCAAACATTTAAACAGAAAGTCCGAATCTTATTAGTCTTAGAGGTCATATATACCATAAACTCATAAACAGCTCATTTAATAATATGTAATAATATGTATATAATATCCGTTTCTTTAAAGGTTTAATAATATATGATCCTACTCCTGTGCACTTGCTGCACCCTCAGTCTCAGTAAGTTACATTTTACAAGTCAAGTAATATAAGTTAAGTTATATAGTTATATATAGTTAAATAAAGTTAAATAAAGATATATAAGTTAAATATCCTCAAAAGTCAAAATCATCATTTAATGTTCCTCTATAATGTAACTTTCAGTGTTTGTTTACAAAACACAAAAGCATGTCAAACTCGATCTAAAGAGGTCACGTGGCAAATTTATATCCACACGATCAGCCCTAACTAGTCGAACTAACAGTCTCCCTATTTCTAACTAGTCGAACTAACAGTCTCTCTATTTCTAACTAGTCGAACTAACAGTCTCCCTATTTCTAAAGTTCTAACTAGTCGAACTAACAGTCTCTCTATTTCTAACTAGTCGAACTAACAGTCTCCCTATTTCTAAAGTTCTAACTAGTCGAACTAACAGTCTCTCTATTTCTAACTAGTCGAACTAACAGTCTCCCTATTTCTCGCCCTTCTTCCTCTCTTAACACATCCTAACTTCCTCAACAGAGCAACAACCTTCCCTTTCAGCTCCTTACTCCTACTAATCAAAATAACCGGGCTACACAGCGCGCTTACAAGCGGGATTATGCTCCCAAACACATGTCTGTCAGCTCCAACACCCTTCACCGGGGGCTCTCCTCGATCTTTCTTTATCTGGGAGAGGATCTTGAGGACAAGGTCGTACACTGAAGACACACTGGTTAGGATGACGAAGGAGATTGTGATGAGGAGGATGGTGACGGAGACGTAGCGCTGAACCTGAGCTGATTGTTGGTTGGGAGGTTCCTTTCGGAGGAAGTGTATCATGGTGACAGCACTGACCGAGCAGATGGTTATGGGTAAAATAAAGGTATGATGTGAACGAAAAAGTAGTTTAGGATGGCTGAATTGTTACTGTCTGCAAGACGTATTATTTCTTTTCCAATGTTTCCATCCTGCAAGAACTTCCCGAACCTTTCTTCATCCTCTATCGGTCTGTAATTTGGAATATCTTCTGTCAGCGCGAAAACGTCTAGCGATCCGAAAATGATCCAGTACAATGCATACAAAATTATTGATAACAGTGCCAATTTCATCTTGATCTCATAAAAGGGTCTCACAGTTTTAAGAGTCCTAGCAACTGAGAGCAGCATGTTGATAAATATCGACATCCTTAAAGCCCATCTTTCCAGCATCACTATCACAACAAAATACCACTTATAATCCAAGAAATGGCTGGCTGGATCCCCGACAAATGTGGAGACCATGATGTCGGATGCTATCATGAAAACCACTGTCAGACAGTCGAAGAGTGCGAGCAAGAGGTACATGCAGGGCACGAACTGTTTGAACTGTTTAAAGTAGAAGGAGATGATGAAGCTGTAGAGAAGGAGTACCAGGCATCCAAGGGTGCAGTTGTAGGGGAGGTACAACATGATGGTTTCAAATGTTACGTCTAGTTTGTAGGTTGGTTTCTTTGACGAGCCATGATTTGGTTTTATTTCCGTGCTGGTACCATTTAACTCTTCCATTAATTATAGTGTCCTCCTTATTGATAACGAGACTTTTATTTTCGGCTTACAAAGCTTCTGTCAATTGTAACAAAATCAAATTTAGATAATATGTATGACGAACTGGTGCAGATGAAAGTGGAAAATATTTGTAAACAAATGAAAACAATTGGTACTGTTAACTGTAATGAAGTATAGGCACTGCAGTAAATTAATTGAGTCAGCTTATACACAAGCAACAATTCTAGATTCAGACACAAAGGATTCAAACTGGCAAATTTCCAATTAAACCATTTAGATTAATTTTAATAACAAACGGGCCAGTACCTCGCGTGGATTCGCAGTTCGCACACATACCGTCACGTGACTGGTAACGTGCATTTATTTATAAAACCAAACTTAAATTGCATGACAACGTTCTGGTGGCGGTGAGGAACTATAACAAGCAATTGCAATGTGTTGAAGTAAACCATAAATGGGTGTGTAATGTGTAACGGGGGCCAGCCGGGTGTGTTATAGTCGGGGATATGATCAGGGGTAATATCATGAGGTCAAGGGTGGATACCTTATAATAATTAATTGTTTAGAAATGCTAAGTGGGTGAGAAGGCCATGCGGCACGCCCAGTAAGCCACCGTGCACAATATGCTTTAGCAATGTAGTCTTTTGGTTCAAGGCAGTGAGAGAATGTTTAATTATAAAGACAGATTATTGTTGTGTAGTACTAGTACTGTTATTGCTTTATTGTTAATGAACTATCAATATACCACTAAAATACATCATGTTTTTAATCCACTAATCAACGAATAAGCTCCTAAGGGTGCGTGTGCACACTGTGAAAGTTCGGTGATGTACAACGCTAAGATCAAAGACAAAGTGCAACGAAAACAATCTAACATTCGACAAAGACATGAGCAATTCAAACTGAAGTCATGAAGTGAGATACTTTTGCTTGCCATGAAGTTTTGAGCTTTTTGAAATAGAACAAAAGTAAAGAAATGTGAAAACGGTCGGTGAAACTGATACAAAACTGAGGTGACGAGATTCTCTAGAATATTAAAGTGAGACTGAGAATTTCGATGGAGAGTTCCACTTTCGATAGTAGTTAAATAATTATAATATTTTCCGGGAATTATTTCCCGAAAAGTCGTGGACACTGGTAACCGATAATTTCACGCAAGCCAGGGTTGCCAGAGTATTATGAGGACAGACTGCGAGTCACCTCAGACTGGCTGGCGGGAAGTTTCAAAACAAATAACAGTGGAACCTGCTCCCTAAGTAGGAAGTTAACACAATCCAAGTCTTGGAAACTTTCAAATCCTCTCTTGCTAAATTCTTGAAAGGCTTCCCGGATACCCGGACCCCGCCCACAAAAGGGTATACCGCCATCACAAATAACTCTCTTCTGGAATGGACTCTACAAAAAGATCTAAGCCAGGAGTGATTGGAGGGCGTACTTGATACTGTTGTCGAGAAGCGATCCCTGCTGATCCTACCTAAAGTAAGTAACCAGTGGCGCACTATATATTACACACTATATTGTATCATGCGCACGTATCACATAACACATCTTCAAATCAGAAACGGAAAAAATAATAATGAAATAATACCTTGGCTTCGTTTCGTGCTCGCCCTCAGCACTCAGCAGCCAAGGTAAATTATTGTATCATAAAAACGTATAGAGCTACTAAATTTAGATCCTAACAAGGACCTCATATCCCACTGTAGTATGACTCTGTAATTAAGGATAGTTTTCCTCTCTCAGGAGAATCCCAGAGGGATATAACATAATCATAATAAGCTAGAGTAAGGGGACTGCATACAGCTGGTCTATAATTTTACGGACCATAGACAGATGTACAGCTGAATATAATTAAACAAGTTGGGACGCCTGACGCCCATCAACAAAATTGAATGACTAAACGTCAGACCCTTGCTTTATTCGTAACCGCTGTCTCTTGAATTATTCAGTATTAATACCTCGTGGACCCGAACTAATCCATGACACGCTGTGACAAACGATATAATAGAAATTAACACCTCTCGATCAACATCTCATTAGATACGATTAGAACGAATCAGCCAACCAAACACAACACTTGAACTCGGCAAGAATGACATTGGTAGATTGTATGAAATGACTGACCACAAAATTGATTTAGATTGGTTCCAGAGCTTTGTTTATTGTTCAAGTGTATTGTGCTGTATCATCACAATTATAACCTGGACAAAAGATCTTCACCCTCAACTCCATAGCTCTAGAGCTGTGATTATAATAATAATAAGAGATCTTGTGATATTGTGGCTTAGAAATTTGCAGATTAAGACCTCGTCACCTCAGCTCTCGGCCTCATGCCAAAATTCCGCTATGTCAACAAAGTTTGAAATTAGGGATGGAATTTTTCAATCGCCGTTGAAAAACAACAGTGACTACATGACCACCCGGCACCCACCTCTATATCAGCAGCATTAGTAAAGAACTGGTGGATCTGTATAGCATCCTCCAGATCTGCTTTTCTCGCAGCTGCAAGAGCATGCAGGTTCTGCCACTTCTTTCTCAGCAGCTCTATCTTGTCCTGGATGTCCAGCAGAGCAAAGTGCTTGTTTTCTATCATCCTCTCCCCCCGCTCGTTCACGTCTTGTATCTTACCCCCGTGAATGTTTACCTGAAATTATACATAATGGTGTCAGATGGTCAGTGTGTATTATTATTATTTATACCATCTTTGATTCCACTCCTCTCAAGTGTATATCTAGTTATGATTATAGCAAAGAGTAACTTACACAAATGTGTAGAACTGTGTAGTTTTGGTAATCATTGAAATTCTAGTTTTTTCTATTTTAGTTTATTTTTGGCGGTGGATCGCCACTGATACTTCAGCAGTCGGTTTACAGCAGATTTAACTTTAACCAACATCTGAAGAAATACAGAAAACTGAGAACCACCACCCCAATGTTTTAACTGCACTCAGTTTGAAGGTAACATGTTGTAGGTACTGATTACGTATGTGAACATACCTCAGACATAAGCTGTTTGTGAGTGTGTACAAGGTTCCGAGCACTGTACAGATCTGACCCTGTTGCAGTTGTCTTCACTCCTGGTTCCTTCTCCTTCACCCATGTCATCTAATGAAAATAGTGAGTGTAATAATACTAACTAAGTAGCATGACCAATGATCCAGGGGCCGCAAAAATAATATCCTTTAAGATTCATTAGCCGAGCTGTAAGAATTTTAATCATATAAAATCTCATTTTAGATCAAAAGAATTTAAGCCAATGCTTGATATTTTGATTTTCAGTAATAACAGTAATTTTATAACACTAACATTAAGAACAATGGCTACCGATGTCCGATAACTATTATATCTAAAACCACCAGGGTAACAGTGGGATTCTCACCTCGTCATCAATATCCCTAAAGAACTGCTGAAGTAACAGAGCATCGGACAACTTCTCCTTCCTCAGCCTCATCGGTTCCTCCAGGGCCTGAAACTTGTCCTCCAGTACGGTCTGTCTTTCTTTTATCTTGTCAGCGTCAAAGTGAGACTCTTCAATGTGACTTGCTGCTTGGAAGCCTGCGGGATAGATTTCATGGTCCACTATTCCACCATGTAATGTGATCACTACACGTGTAATGTGATCTATTCAATAATTTGAATAAAATTAGATTTCATTTTAATTTTATTTACTCGCGACTGAACCATCTCAACGAGAGTTAGATTCATCAGAATATTCTCCACCAGACTATATACTAGGACCCAAGATAACCTAATTACACGCCTGGGGCTAACTAACCTAGCTACGGTTCTAGTGTAGGGAAAAAGTAATAATACAGTAATACATAATACAAATAGGATTAGGAGATTTGTTTACACTGGTGTATTGTGCACAAACACTATGCCACGTAGCGGTCTATCATATCCGTTAATATTATTAATAATAAATAACTATTTTCGTTATTTCTGCTATTATGATTACACTCGGTCCTGTATATATAGCTTTATAGTTATGACAACCTGTCTCAGTCAACAAATACCTGATCCTAGAAGTTGGTAGTTGACCAATTATCAGCCTTCAAGCCAGATCAATACAGCTACAAGACTAAAAAGTAATATAAAAAAGCCACGTACCTAGGCCTACATTTGTAACTAAAATACTAAAAGTAAGATATAAAAGCCACGTACCTAAAGCATTAAGCTTGACACGCTGAGTACCCATAACGTTCTCCAGTATGCTGTGCGACTTGCTGAGACTCTTTACTGTAGCCAGGTCAGTTCCATAATCCTCGTTACTCAACTCCACCTGAGAGGGTTGAAATATTACAGGATTCTATTTTTAGATAGGGATCAAGGGATTAATAATAGAAGTGTGTGCTCCCGGCCCTAGTTTCCTGGTTTAAAATACAACATTGTCAGCTCATGTTCTTGTTTGCTTTCAGAAATGGGTCGCCTATAAGCAATTATAGCCTTTTTTGGCTGGCCGAATGAGGTAAAATGAGGTTGACCCCCCCCCCCCCCCCCCCCCTTATATGCAATAATGAAGAATTTATTCATTTATTGATTGTTTTTAATCAAGACCTTAGTTGGCTTGCATATAATAACAAATTATCTTTCAAACAACAATAGAATAGCAGAATGTAACTTATTGGCCTGACACACAAGAGCACTTTCATAAATGATACCCAATCTAGATAATACAATTATAAAAGTACATATTCTACAGTCTACGCTATCATTTGGGTCCTGGACTTGAACCACATTTCTGCACACTATGTTGATTACTACATACCAACAGACACCTTGTATATGCCCGCAATAGTCAATACGTGCCGTTATACGGTACATTACACATAAAATACAGTATATTACACATTTACACACCACACCACACCCCACCCCACCACACCACACCACACCACACCACACCACACCACACCACATTCCACACCACACCACACCACACCACACCACACCACACCACACTCCCACCTCTATCTCAGCTAGCCAGTTCTCCAAGTCAGTCACCCCTCTGTTGTACAACATTTCGTTATAAGCCTCCTCTAACTTCTGTTTCTTCTGCTGGCAAGTTTCCAGTAATGAACTCCACGAGTCGGAGATCTTGTCTTGGATAGACCTGGAAATAGTGGGGGCTGGTTAATTATTGTAATAATAGAATAATAATAGATTATAAATGATAAAGTGGAAATTAATTTACAAAACTTCTTATATTAATTGATGACTTGAAACTTGTCCCATTCACCATCAGCTGTAGTAAGGGGAAAAGTGGCATTCCGTTGGATTTGAATGTTCACAAGGATTTCTCAACGGAATATGGTAGTTAGGACCCCTACGAACATAATTAGACTTGTTGCCAATTTTGTATCTCAACAGAAACACCACTTTTACCACTTTTTACCACCTTTGTACCACCTTTCTGGTTTGCCAAATATCTTTAGTTGTGAACGTCGTAGAAGGCTGCAAATTAACCTAGAATGTTTATCTTATCAAGGAGTAAAACTTTTGTATGAAAAATTTTGACATTTGACAATCAGCTAATTGGATAATTACCAATTAGTTAATCACCAAAAAAAGTGAAAATTTTTTATTGGCTCAAAATGATTGAAATCGTTTGAAACACGGAGAAATGTAGTTTTTAGAAAAACTTCAAAAATTGTTCACTTAAAAATTTTTTTCGAGACTTGGAAAAAAGTTTGAAAATTTTAAAATATTTTTTTCCGCCAAAAGTGATCGAATTGCATGAAACGTGGATAAAAATGCTTTGCAGAAAAACTTCGAAGATTTTTAGATTGGGGAATACTAAAATCATCAATATTTGAAGTTGGAGTTCAGTAAATCTCGACATATTTGATATTTTAGTAATTAGGAATAGCTTAGCGGAAAGGGCTGAACCTGAAAAAGGTTAACCACACAATATTAGAGTTTCATAACTAATTACAATACAGCTTTATCAAATTCCACATAAAGAAACAGCACAAAAGGACCATTTAAGATCGAACCGATTTTACCTGCTGTACTATCATTTTATTGATTTCAATGATCAAAACCTCTGTACCGTCAATCTTGCCAATCTATACCGGGTATCTGAATGTACCGGACCTCTTATTTACCTCTATAATTAGACCCAGTTATGCAAGAAATGCGATTTCTCACAGGGATTTCTTTTAACTGTGCACTTTTTGTCACTCTCGCAAGAGGCCCGGTATTATAGGGGGGTATAGGAAGAGAGTGTAAATATACCTTTCATCATCCACTGTGGCTTTTTTGTATTGTGAATGCGCATGCCGCTTCGTTTGCTATGCCAGATACCTCAAATAACCCCCCTATCTCATTGCCAGGGTCGGGATAGAGCTGGAGATAGCATCGAGAGGTTGCTAGAAATAGCTAGATTTAGAGTAAACTGGTGGTAGCTGGGTGGTGCTAGCATGGATGTAGCAGAACGTAGCTACACGGGGTTTCATTGGAGTTGGTTATTTTAATGGCCAAAGAGTGCCGGAACTAAAGTTACTTAAGATTGCAGTTGAGGGGCAGTGTAAACCACGGTGTAGTCAGGGACACAGAGCTACAGTGCAGGAGTACTGCAAAAGAACAGTGCAAGTGATACAGTCTGCAACAGTAAAACGCCGAAGAAGGAGATAAGATTGTGACTGCAGAGGAGGAGAGGAGCTGGAACCTGATTGTGTTTGGGTTGAAAGAAGAGGAGGAAGAAGAGTGTCCTGCTCTGGTAACTGCATTTTTGGAAGAGGTGGAGTGAGAACTTATTTTCAAGCGACAAGGGTGGGTTGAAAGCAACCAGGTACAGCTATCCGACCTATTAAGATCACCGTCCTGAGCTTAACAGCCTTTCATCAGAATCTGATGAAAACAGAGAGACTGACCCACCCTTTTTAGATCCAACGAAACCCTTTATATAAATCGACTTTACCGCATGAATTACTTCATGGTATCTTCTTATCAAGGCTACAGACCTTGCCGTACCGGATTTATTGATCAAAGTGAGTCTCTTTAGCCCTCTTCTTCTTTAGAGCTTTAGGTTAGTGATCAAACTCTTCGCAACTCGCTCTTCACTGGATCTATCAGGACAGATTCACATCTTTTTAGGTCTCAACCAGCCTTAGTTTTCCTGTTTTCATCATGTAGTACGTTCTGCTACCTCCATTTTAGCACCACCCAGCTTCCATCAGTTCACTCTAAGTCTAGCTTCGTCGGCGTTTTACTGTTGCAGACTGTATCACTTGCACTGTTCTTTTGCAGTACTCCTGCACTGTAGCTCTGTGTCCCTGACTACACCGTGGTTTACACTGCCCCTCAACTGCAATCTTAAGTAACTTTAGTTCCGGCACTCTTTGGCCATTAAAATAACCAACTCCAATGAAACCCCGTGTAGCTACGTTCTGCTACATCCATGCTAGCACCACCCAGCTACCACCAGTTTACTCTAAATCTAGCTATTTCTAGCAACCTCTCGATGCTATCTCCAGCTCTATCCCGACCCTGGCAATGAGATAGGGGGGTTATTTGAGGTATCTGGCATAGCAAACGAAGCGGCATGCGCATTCACAATACAAAAAAGCCACAGTGGATGATGAAAGGTATATTTACACTCTCTTCCTATACCCCCCTATAATACCGGGCCTCTTGCGAGAGTGACAAAAAGTGCACAGTTAAAAGAAATCCCTGTGAGAAATCGCATTTCTTGCATAACTGGGTCTAATTATAGAGGTAAATAAGAGGTCCGGTACATTCAGATACCCGGTATAGATTGGCAAGATTGACGGTACAGAGGTTTTGATCATTGAAATCAATAAAATGATAGTACAGCAGGTAAAATCGGTTCGATCTTAAATGGTCCTTTTGTGCTGTTTCTTTATGTGGAATTTGATAAAGCTGTATTGTAATTAGTTATGAAACTCTAATATTGTGTGGTTAACCTTTTTCAGGTTCAGCCCTTTCCGCTAAGCTATTCCTAATTACTAAAATATCAAATATGTCGAGATTTACTGAACTCCAACTTCAAATATTGATGATTTTAGTATTCCCCAATCTAAAAATCTTCGAAGTTTTTCTGCAAAGCATTTTTATCCACGTTTCATGCAATTCGATCACTTTTGGCGGAAAAAAATATTTTAAAATTTTCAAACTTTTTTCCAAGTCTCGAAAAAAATTTTTAAGTGAACAATTTTTGAAGTTTTTCTAAAAACTACATTTCTCCGTGTTTCAAACGATTTCAATCATTTTGAGCCAATAAAAAATTTTCACTTTTTTTGGTGATTAACTAATTGGTAATTATCCAATTAGCTGATTGTCAAATGTCAAAATTTTTCATACAAAAGTTTTACTCCTTGATAAGATAAACATTCTAGGTTAATTTGCAGCCTTCTACGACGTTCACAACTAAAGATATTTGGCAAACCAGAAAGGTGGTACAAAGGTGGTAAAAAGTGGTAAAAGTGGTGTTTCTGTTGAGATACAAAATTGGCAACAAGTCTAATTATGTTCGTAGGGGTCCTAACTACCATATTCCGTTAAGAAATCCTTGTGAACATTCAAATCCAACGGAACCCTTAAATCGACCAATTTTCCCCTTACTAGTATGTAGATAAAATCGATATATAATTTAATTTGTGAAAAAAAAACTTGTCAGAAATGAGGTCAGCTCGTAAAAGACGTTTCACTCACTTTATATCATTAGAAGCATAGTGTTGGTTCTCTATCATCTTAGACCCAATACCGTCCAGGTACTCCACTCTGTCGTGGTTAGCGTGCAGCTCGTTTTCAAATACCTCGTGTTTCTGCAGCTTCCCTGAATATGGTGACATTTTTTAAACGATGCTTTAGTTTTGTGCAGCAACAGACTTAAGCATGACTCTATTCTATCTTCTGGAGAATAAATCAGCCATCTAAACATCTAATTATTATACCAGATGCAGATTTTATAACCATTACATCAACCTGAAACCACTATAGCACTATTGAAAAGCTAACTTAAGGGGGCCGGGGGGGGGGGGGGGTCTTCATCAAAATTATCTCGAAATTGATTTTATAGTTGTTTCGATTTTGAAAATCTTGGACCTGGAAAAATCGTCATAAAATGTGGTCCAAGATTTACAAAATCAAATTAAAAAATTTGTGAGGCCTATCTTAAAATTCGGCTCGATACTTCTCTTCTAAATGATCCCTTGAACATATCCTGAATGTTTCAGAGTGATTGCTCAAAAAATGTAGGAGAAGATAGATTTTTAGACTCGATTTTCAGGACACGCGATTGAAAATCGCTCGCGCAATACAATTACACATGAGCGCTGACTTTTGACCACCGATAATTTCGGCTAGGAACAATATTTTTCCATGGGACTAAAAGCAGCTGATAGCTATCACCCCCTCTATCAGAAACGACTATAAAATCAATTTCGAGAGAATTTTGATGAATACCCCCCCGGCCCCCTTAACACAGCAGTCACAGCATACACCAGTCTCCCTCACCCTGCAGGTTAGTAAAGTCCAGGTAGTCCTGCTCCAGGCAGATGTTCTGCTTCTCCTCCACCCACCCACTCAGCTCATCAGACTCCAGCAGGAAGTGGTTAAATTGTACTGCGTCCTTCAGTGTGTTCTGTCGCTCCTGGTAGTGAGAAACTGTGAGGATAGACCTTCTGTTTCTTAGTAAGTTATTAATTTGTTATTTAATAAGTAAGTTATTAATACACTTCACTGATTTAATCAATTTACTGCTAATACACTCGCGTAACAAGTAAAAATAATGTTCAATATTAGCAATCAAATCTCAAAATCAGAGCAATTATTGAAACCTTCTTTTTCTCCTGCATTCTCTGAACACGTGCTGAAGTGTCACTGATCCTATCTGCAATCTCCTGACTAGCAAAGTGCTCTGCTTCTATCATCTCCTTACCGTTACTCTCCAGGGCTCCTGAAGGAATACAGTGTGAAACACAAGGGTTTGTTGTATAAAGTGATCATGCGGATCTTGCAACCCAAAAAAAGCCAATCGCAAGAGATAAGTCGTGAGATTGGAATTGGTCTTGTTTGGGTTTCAGCCATCAAATAGGTAGCTTCCCTCCATTGATTAAAATTTCAAAGTTGAATTTTTGTAAAAAAAGTTGAACGGGTTAGGGTACCACTTTTCAAACTTATTTCAATCCTAATATTAAGATCGTGGAATTGCTACAAACAAATCGTAATCTGAGGTCATGAAATATGATACTCCTGCTAAGCTGTGTGGATATTTTGAAAAAATTGAGCTGTAAAATTGACCCTATCGGATTTATAGAGTTTTGTTGGGTTTAAATAAGCCTTTCGTGCATATTTGCTATTTATGTAAGGAGTTGCATGCTTAGTGCTTACTCTCCGATGAAATGCTATGATTATATCAAAGCATTAACTACTCTAATTTATAAATCTTATTCATCATATGTGTCGAGGATGACATAAGATTTCGTATCACTTATATATATATAATATATCGTATCACTTTTCTTATCGAACTAAGGTGTAGTATTGCCAGATCCCAGTTTATTTTGTAACGGAGTTTTACATTAACAGGAAACGATGTAACAGAGTCGACATATTTTAATGTTGCCATGGGGTGGTCCCCATACATCGTGATTCGTGGTCCGGTAGTTTCATTGCGTCCTATCATATGTTTTAAATAATCTCTCTCCAGGCATAACATGAAATATAATCCTCCTATCCTGATAAGGACTGATCGAATATTCTGGCTAAACTCGAAAATTGAATTCTCGAGTTTTGAGTGGAGCAATCGCACCAAGTCGGTGATTCATAAAACATAATATTTTGTGAGTTCAATTTTGAAGCGATGATTTTGTTTGCAGTCTTCGTAATGCTCTCTTTGCAAGGTAACGTGCCTTAGAGGGGTGTCCAACCCCAAAAAACCCAATACAACCTCAAAATGGGAATTTGAGGTAGAATTGGGTTTTTTTTATTATTAAATAAATTATGTACACCTACATTCATTTGAAAAACTCTACTGATTATCATTTATCCCGATTCCCAGTACTTAGGTATCGTTATCAGTAATAATGCTATCACCATAATTATTATATCACTGCAAGTTATATAAATCATCTTACAGGTGTTTGGGCTGGTGGTTTCTATCTGCTGGATGCTAACCAACAAGTCACTACGAGTGGAAAAGGTCTTCTCATGTACAGTGGGGGTACTGTTTGTGAAGATGCCTTCAATGATGAAACAGCGGATTGGATTTGTCGCATGATGGGATACGCGTCACTCGACTTTTGGACTAATGGAAGGAAATACACCTGGCATGACAAATACCCTATAAAACTAGATGATATACAGTGTTCCGGTAGTGTGGTACCATATTGTGAGTATGATACATCCCACAACTGTTATCATATTGAAGATGTCTGGTTGAGCTGCAAAATAAAGATACAAAAAGGAGACCTAAACTCGTTCTACCTTCTTGACAACACTGAGATGTTTACACAAAGCGGACACGGACTACTGATGTACCAAGAAGGAACAGTTTCTTATGACGGATTTGATGACACCACCGCTGACTGGATATGCCGGTTTATGGGGTACGAGAATGCCGCAGATTGGGTTAATGACCGCCAATTTTCTTTCCAAGACGACCTACCGATAAAGTTGAACAATTTAGTATGCTCTAATACCTCGTATTCCGACATATTACCCAAATGTCAGAGTAGAATAGGAACCGCTGATGACAGCCATGACGAGGACATCTGGATATGGTGCAACTCAGTTGTCATAGCAGAATGTCCTGCAGGTTACAAAGTGAAGCTGAAGAACAAGTTGTGTCAAGAGTGTCCTCCTACAACCTACTCTCCGACACCAAACACCAATTTCACCTGCTTGCACTGTCCTGAAGGATCAAGCTCTCCTGCTGCATCCCCATATTGCACGTGTGTAGGGGGTTCATATCTGAGCGCAGATTACAGCAGTTGCCAGGCATGCCCTACAGGGACAGCCAGTAAAGAGGGAAGCACGTCATCTGGACAATGTGTTCTGTGTCCAGAAGGAATGATTTCAATTGATGACGGAAAGGCATGTAGCTGCAATAAGGGTTATGGCTGGTTGTGGACTTCTGCTGAAGAAGGAACATGTAGCCCTTGTCCAGTCAACAGCTTCAAGACACTAGGCACATGCAGACAGTGCCCAGTTGAAGCAACCTCTCTCCCCCTTTCCGAAGGCTGCACCTGTGCAGTTGGATTATCTTGGGATGGGGAAATTGTGTGGACTGTGTCACAGACCTAACTGGAGATAAGGTCTGTGGATGTCGAGCAGGTACCTTTTGGAATGTTTATTCAAACAAGTGCGAAGAATGTCCTGAGAACCACTCCAGCGCAATCTACTCTGCATCCTGCACTAAATGTGAAGAAGGAACATCACCCTCTAAAGACAAAACAATGTGCATAAAGTCAAGTACCATAGATATTCTGTCAGTAACGAGTCTGATACTCTCACTCTTGGTTATAGTACTGATACTATCACTAGTTATTTGGTTCAAGATAACATTAAGGAACTTGAAGCTGAGCTACTCCCCTGAACCTTGTGGTGGTACCATACAGATGAGTGGTAGAAAGTGCATGTGTCCTGATTGTCCCTGTAGTGCTTCACCTCCACGTGATTCAGTTATCCAGGATGATGATCTGTACACGAATCATTAATACAGCTGAAGGAATTAGGAAATGAATGAGCAGCGAGAGAGCAGTAATGTGAATCCTGAGACTTGAAGAGAGCAGGAACTGTGAATTTATTCTGCTTAAACCGACCAATCGATAATGAACAATATGAACAATTTAGAATTTATCAGATTAGATTAGAGAAGCATGTATATATGGGCAATTCCACGATAACGGTAACCAGTAACAAAATAATAAAGTTTGGAGGTGGTTTGGGAGAGATAGAAAATCTTTAAGATATTTGACCATATTTTCAGGGGCAAAAAACCGTTTGTTGATATCTAGCCTAGTTTAAAAACTGTAGCGCGTCAAAGTTGGCTTAAATTTAGTGTATCTTTAGTGTGAATATCCAGTTATTTTCCGAAAGATTTTAGGGAGCTTTATCAATCGTAGAATTCAATATTTTATCCTGTATATCAACCTAGTGGGCTTCAGATAGAAGGCCAGCCTAATTTTGAGGGCCAAATTTCTTTACTTTTTGAGTGTCTTATGATCAAATTTTTCCTCTTCGCGTGTGAATAACGCTACCAAATAGTGAAAAATGTTTTACTGTGGCTACACTATAAGTCTGTTTGATTCGTAACTCTCTCTCTAACGGCAACTTTAGTCATCTATAAAGGTCAGAAAATTTCATTCGTTTTGTCACACTGGAAGTGCAAAAAGTAGGGGTAGTGTGATTCACAGGTAGCGTAATTCACAGCTTGGTAGTGTAATTTACACAGCGGAAAATTAATAAAACAAGTGGTTTAAATGCTTTGTTGTGAAATAAATTGTACTTTCAATACTTCCAGGGCTGTAGGGTGAGAATCCCTGCCACGTTTTTGGTCAGTTTCGCCGGGGCTCATGTCTTTCCTCGAGGGAGCATTAGTGTCTACAGAAAAACTGACAAATCCTAGCGAAGTCCAATCCGAACCACATCTTCCATCAGAGGTGGTGCTGGGTCAGCTGGTTACTGAACGGATTGGCCTGGAGAATGGCATAGTCCTGTTACTCTCAAGTTAACCATAGAGGGGGACAGGCGCTGTTCGCTCACGGCTGGTTCTTGGAGCCAACACCCTCAGCCCCACATAAGTGGGAGCACTGTCGGTGGTGGCTCACCCAGATAACGGACGGTGTCTCTCCTTCTTTCTTCTTGGACTTGCATTGTTGCTGGCGAGTCAGCCAGTAGCAATGCAGCATCTCACTCACTCAATCACCTCGTCAATTCGGTCCTTTTTTTCATTTGCATTACTTTCGCTCATTCTCCTGTCATAATGCATTCTCTGCTACCATAATGCCTTTCTTACCACGGTGTAACGCATGTTACACCTTGCGTCTTTCTCTAACACCATCATCATTTTAGCAACCTTGGAATTTCAACCCTACACATGGATATCCACTCTCCACTCTACGGCGAACACAAAGCTAGAGATCTAATTAGGATTCGAGTACCCCGGCTACCCTTGTGACATACATACGTGGAAACCAGTTTAAGCAGCAGTACATCGACACAATGGATCAGCACTACGAAATCTGATATCTGCATCATACTACTCCGATCCAGAAATCTTCGCTAAACCATCACATGAGATGAATAACTACAAGTTGGACTCCACATAACATTATTCCTTGTTCTGATCAGTCAATAAATGTAATCTGCATCAATTTTCCAATAATTACATCTTCTTACTAGTTTATTTTCCCTCTCAGGGCTGGAACGCAATGTTACAGCCCACTTTATAAATTACTAAAACTCGAGTTATTCCAGATTGACGACTTGACACAGATATTCATCAGACAACCTAAATAAAGGACTCCCACTCTCCAAACCAGTAGAGATCCAATCACTGCCTCCAGGGTACCCCTTCATCCGGTATTAGCAGTTCCTCCACCACCACCAGGTTAGAACACTCCCACTAATCACCCCTAAAAAAACGAACCTACCGCCTTGCTCCACCAAACACATCTTCAATCAAATCCAGTTACTCAAACCGGTTAAATCCGTCCTTCAAATTTCCCGCATTAAACGTAACGCGCGAACGCCATACAACTCAAGGACGTAGCAACCTAATAGTCGTCATTTTTTAAACAGAAAATTTAGTGCGCGCGCGAGCCTGCGCGCGCGCGAGCTTACGACTAATCCACGAGATTACGACAAATCCACATAATTGAAACGTTCCATCACTCCAGGTTGATCTGATTAGTAAACTCAAGGAAGATGATACCAGATCAGTCCCGAACTTCGCCTCAGCATCATACTCTGCCTAGTGTCGATAAAGAGGATTCACAAACAATCGAGATTCACTTACAAATATTTGCTATTACTTTTTACAATTGCAGTTATATTCGTTGTTTTAATTATCTCCATCAACCTTGAATCTGTCACTGCCCATACTACATTCCCGCAACACATTCTACAAGCTTAGAACTTATAAAGTAACAGCACCATCATAACCCACACATTACCTTCGCACAAATCAGCTATTCCCCATTCACTCACGAGCGTCGACATATCTCCGCATGTACATCTGTAAACTGGAGCGGCCCCCCGCGATGCGGAGCAGGTGAGCTACCTGGTTCGGGCTACTTCACTTATCAGAGTACGCTAGCTCCACAATACACTCGCTTCAAGCCCTCAGATTTGCACGCATCCATCACCTTCACAGGGCCGGCTGCCCACATCCTGTAAAATCCTGATTCTATATGCTCGCGGGGTCTATTACCTGTTTGAGCTTTATTATTACGCGCGCGTGCCCAGTGTACAGCTCACCGGCTTGCGCTGTCCTCTTGGCATTGTTGTCGCCTTTATGACCTTCAAATCTAAAAGTAGGTTGAGGGCACTACATGGGGTCTAGCGCTGCCCCGTGTCAAAATACATACATACATACATACATACATACATACTTCCAGGGCAATTCCAGGGACCTATTTTCAACAACTGCCTGAAAGTGTTGGTAATTTAATCGAAATTAGGGTTCCGCCAGGGCAAAATGTGCCACTTTTAGACCTTAAATCGCAAAAATAATGATTTTTAAATGGATAAGGACATCAAAATTGATTTGAAAGTGTTTTATAGTCATTGTTAGGTCTGGGAACACTTATTTAAGTAATTTAAAGGCTTATTTTCAGAAAATATCAGCAATTTGGGGCTAAAATTACCTTATTTTCTTGTCACGTAACTAAATTTTGCTCAAAAGAGCAGTGTTTTTGCCCCAAAAAATTATAATTTTTATCAAAAACCATGTATAGAGGTATCAAATTAAAGCTCTTGATGACCTCTTCACATTAAAAACACAAAGAAGTAGTTTAGAATTGATATAAGTGATAAAATGGTCTAAAAATGGATTCAAAAAGTTATAAATTTCTGTCTAATCATGAACCTTTGAGAGCTCATAAAAAAATCTTGCCACAATATTACACTGTACATTTTTCTAGGATTACTCTAAATGTCCTATACTTACAGATAGATCAACTTATAGATGCTTACCAAAGTTAATTTGCAACTTATTTTTGTAGTTTGTCCTAAAAAATGGCAAAAAATTGCCAAAAAATGCAATTTTTGACAAAAAATGAGGTAAAATTAATAATTGAGGTCAAATATCCATTTAATCACTCTAAAAACCTTTTTAAACGTTATTTTGGGGCAAGATACCCCTAGAATGCATGTTTTGTGGTATATCATACCCCTTAATCATGCCTACATCTTATGTCTACCTCGCATGGGCGCCCCGACCACTGTGGTATGGCAGTAGGGTGTAATCTACACCATTACCAGTATCTAATTGGACCGATTAGTAGTCAATTTAATTTAAAATCAGTAATAGTCAGTCTATTTCACCATTTTACAATAGCAGCAACCAAATCAAGAACAAGCAAACATCAATACAACGCACAAACAGAGCAACTGGGCAGAGTGTGAGTTACACTACGTCCAAATGTGAATAACGTTTACTTCCTATATTGTCCCTGTACTACACACATTCCAGAAATTTATGTTAGGAAGGACATAGGAAGTTGAAAAAATGTGTACTTTATTGTGATCAAGCCTTATTGTAACTTCTGCTATTACACTGGGGCACGAATTGCAATTTTAAGGCAAGATTTCTAAAACACCAAATTCTGCCTGTGAATAACGTCTACTTTTTAAAATGCTGCTCACATAAAAAGTATAAGAGATAGACATTAAACTTTTGTTGCCACATCATCACAAACGTTTAAACTTCATTCTGACTTTATATTATCATGATGCTAATGTTAGCCTACAATTAGCATGCAATTAAAAGCTAAATTTTGTGCAAAGTGTGAATTACACTACGTGGAATTGCCCATAATATATAGATCTCAAGCACATTTTATAGTCCCCCCTCATTTTGTACTGGACTTTTCTTCGATTTAAAATATTAAGTATAATACTTTATAATGTAATAACGGTTTTAAAAAAAACTGTAAAGCAATAACAGTTTGGAAATTTTAAAACTCTATATGCTGTTTTATTTTCAATTGTGTTCGAATTCTAAAAGTAACCATTCGTTAGCAAAACTAGATCGTTACTAAACAACTAACCAATAATCACAATATAATAATGAATAACCACAACACTAGCTA